AATGTCTACGCATGTGAACTATTAGTGGAAACGATGAAACAAGTGTTCTGATGGTGATGTGATTCTCAAGATAAGGTGTCTGTCTGCATAGACGCCTTGAGATACCATCGCCAACTGTCAGCTGTCTGCTGGCTCAAGTTGCCGTCAAAATCTCCCAAGGGCTGCACAATGTGACGCATCAACATATTGTGAAGCAGTGTACTATGAAGGATAATTGTTACGGATCGCCGTAACGCCGTTCGAAAAATGAATGAAACGCGTTGGTCTTGCTTAAACTGGAGGCAAGCGGCGGTGAGGAGGAACTTTTTCTTTTCTTGCTGCTGTTTTCTTTTCTGTAGCTGGAGAGCGACTGCCGACCGTTCCGGCCGGCCCGTCTTATATATGATTTGGCCCTTGCTGGCCAGCGGACCCTTGCCTCACCCCCGCGCCTTTCTTTATTGGTTAGATTTCTTACAAACTAACGAACAGACTTAAATATATAACATTCTTACAACTACTTATTAAACTAATATTTACATAACAATTTTTCTATATAGTAAAGGTTAAAACGTTGTTATTCCAGCAATTTTGAGCTGAGGACCCTGCCCCCCGCCTCAGTACTATAAATATAAAACGTCGTGGCGCGGCGCGCGTAGCCTCATTCGCTCCGCGGCCGCGTCACGGTAACATGCCCTGTTTATTATTTATCGTGCCTAAGGGCTTAATATATATGAAATTAAATTGCCCTATACAAGGGAATGGTTGGAAAATGGTTGTATGGAAAGTGTTAATGGGAGACTTCAATGCAAAACTAGGCACAAGAGAGAACGGTGAGCTGAAAGTAGGGAAATTTGGAATAGGGCAACGGAACCCAAGGGGCCAGCAGCTGGCCGACTTCATGGAGAAAGAGGGACTCTTTATGATGAACTCTTTCTTCCAGAAGCGGCCCCACAGGAAGTGGACCTGGTCGAGCCCCGACGGTTCCACAAAAAATGAGATTGACTTCATTATGACGACCAGACGACAACTGTTCAGTGATGTCTCCGTGATCGCGAGGGTGAAAACTGGTAGCGATCACCGAATGGTTAGAGGCACACTGAACCTAAACGTTAAGTTGGAGAGGTCTCGTCTAATGAAGTCAACGCTCCGTCCCCCTCGTGCTCTGTTTCAAAGTCCCGAAACCTTTCAGCTCGAGTTACAAAACCGTTTTCAGTGCCTAGAAGACTGCAATGAAGTGGACGATATGAATGACAAGCTCGTGGAAACTGTCCATGCGGTTGGAGCTAAGTTCTGCAAGACCCGCCGCAGAAGAACACAAAAACTCTCCGATCACACTCTTAATCTCATGGCTGTTAGACGGGAGATGAAGCTACATTCTTCAACAGACTTGACAGCATACAGGCATCTGAACAGACAGATCTCCAAATGCATGCGGCGGGACTTACGCAACTTCAATACAGCTCGTATTGAAGAAGCGTTCGAGCGGAACCAAGGCTCCAAAGTCTTTGCCACAGATCTGTCTGCCAGAAAGAGCCAACTGTCAAAGCTGAAGACAGAATGTGGCAGCATCGTTTCCGGGACACCTGAGATTTTGAGTGAGATTGAGAGGTTCTATGGGCAGCTGTACACATCATCGTTGGAGCCACACGCAAGTGTGAGTAACGATCCAAGAGCGAGTCTCATCCGACACTATTCCGAAGATATCCCGGATGTCAGTCTGAGCGAGATTAGGATGGCTCTCCAGCACCTTAAAAACGGTAAGGCCCCAGGCGAGGATGGAATTACAGCGGAGCTTCTGAAAGCGGGTGGAAGACCGGTACTTGAAGTCCTTCAGAAGCTCTTTAATTCCGTCCTCCATGGTGGCATTACACCGGAGGCGTGGAGCAGAAGTGCGGTGGTCTTGTTCTTCAAGAAAGGTGACAACGCTCTCTTGAAGAACTACAGACCGATTTCCCTTCTGAGCCGCGTCTACGTGCTGTTTTCGAGAGTCATTACGAATCGTCTCGCGCGCAGACTTGACGACTTCCAGCCTCCCGAACAAGCCGGTTTCCGAAAGGGCTTTAGCACCATAGACCACATACATACCCTTCGGCAAGTTGTACAGAAGTCCGAAGAGTACAATTTGCCACTATGTCTGGCGTATGTGGACTATGAGAAAGCCTTTGATTCCGTCGAAATTTGGGCGGTGCTGCAGTCCCTTCAGCGGTGCCAATTTGACTGTCGGTATATCGAAGTGTTGAAGTGCTTGTACAGTAGGGCTACGATGGCTATCCGAGTACAGAACCAGAGTACGAAACCTATCCAATTGCAGTAAGACAGGGTGACGTCATATCCCCGAAACTCTTCACCGCTGCATTGGAAGACGTTTTCAAGCTTCTGGACTGGAAAGGATACGGTATCAACATCAATGGCGAGTACATCACTCACCTTCGATTTGCCGACGATATAGTCCTTATGGCAGAATCGCTGGAGGACCTAAGCACTATGCTCAATGACCTCAATAGTGTTTCCCAACGGATAGGTCTTAAGATGAACATGGACAAAACTAAGATCATGTTTAATGTCCATGTCACACCTATGCCGATAGTTGTTGGGAACACTAAGCTCGAAGTTGTTGACGAGTATGTTTACCTGGGACAAATAGTCCGACTGGGTAAGTCCAACTTCGACCGAGAGGTCAATCGACGGATTCAACTCGGTTGGGCAGCGTTCGGGAAATTACGGCACATCTTCTCGTCAGGTATACCTCAAAACCTGAAAACGAGACTGTACAACCAGTGCGTGTTGCCAGTGATGACCTATGGTACTGAGACGTGGTCCTTCACTGCTGGCCGTATGAGGAAGCTCAAGGTCGCTCAGCGAGCTATGGAGAGGGCTATGCTCGGAGTTTCTCTGCGTGATAAACTTAGGAATGAGGATATCCGCAGTAGAACCAGATTGACCGACATAGCCCAACGGATTAGTAAGCTGAAGTGGCAGTGGGCCGGCCATATAGCTCGAAGAACCGACAACCGATGGGGAAGAAAGGTTCTCGAGTGGCAGCCTCGTACCGGTAGGCGAAGTGTAGGGCGTCCCCCCACGAGATGGAGTGACGACCTGGTAAGACATGCAGGAAGTCGATGGATGCAGGTGGCTCAGGACCGTGTTTTGTGGCATTCTTTGGGGGAGGCCTATGTTCAGCAGTGGACTTGTGAAGGGCTGTAATGATGATGATGATGATGATACAAGGGAATATACTTTACATACAATATTTTTTCTACAATTTGGCATTGATTAATTTCTATATTCTAAATCTATGTTAACTCTCGCCATTTGTTCGGTGCCTTTATTGCGAGAGTTATTACATAGTTACAATACTATTTATTTAACAATAAAAGCTATATTTCTCAATATTATTGCTACGGCTTTTCCCGCGTTGCTGTGGGCAACCACCGCTAGTTGTGGAACCGTGAGCGCGCCCCGACGATCATAACATTCTCATGGCTCCGCCCACCGCCCCTAGGTTGTTCAGCTAGCGATGGTTACGACAAGCAATCCGTAAGTCATTTCGTTCGACGTATTACTATGTTTGCGTCGTGCACAATAATTATACATTGTAACTTCATGCTCAGAAGTGCTAGAACCCAGAGCCGTAAAGCTAGTTATTATTATAAGAAAGAAGATGGAATTATTGAAATTCAATAATAATAATAATTAAGATGCGCTGTAATAACACTATCGTTGTCGACTGTTTAATGTTCAAGACAAGACTAGGTACCTACCTGTTTCTGAATTATTAAATACGTATTATAAATAATTTTGTTTTTATTTTCAATCTTTCTAGAATTCCTTCCAAATATATTGTTTCTTGAAAACATGATGTATTGCGTGGCACACGTTGCATGCGTGTTTGAGGAATGATTTTTCCAAGCAGTTGTGGAGAAATCACACAACTGTATTTAAGAACTTCATAACTTCTTCCTGTTGCTAAATAATATCTCAATGTTGCTACCAAACACTCTTCTGCCGCGGAATTTTCTCCGATTCGAGATTCCGTATGATCGCCTGTGCGTTCGGAATCCCGAACGGAAGCAGCTCCGAACGCAAGTCTTCTACAGATTTTGTATTGGTCGCAATACACATTCGTAAATTCCATACGGAACGCGCTGTGTTCGTCGCACGACCGAAGCGAGTGGTGTATTTATGTGTTTTTACATTTAATGTTATATGTATAGCTTTTCGTAACCTTTCATCTTATTTAATTTAATAATTCAATTTTACAGACATCCATATTTAAAAAATATCTCTGGATAGATAGATTATTTTACATAATATTAACTATATTGCAAGCTTAGGGTGATAAGCGGATGCACCTAGTAAGAATGATACAGCAACAATGGAATCGCAATCAGAAAATCGTCGTCATTATTCGCTGGCAGAATGTCTAGACTCAATGGCTAACAACTAGCCCTTGCTATTCCGAGCGGAAATAAACGTATGTGTGTGATGCATTCATGGAATTCCAAATCGGAATATCGAAACGGAGTCCCGAAACGGAATTCCCTATGTATTTGGCCGACCTAAAAGCCGATAGCCTATTACTTTAACTATGTTGCCTATTAATAAAGTAGGTGATAGATTCGGTAGTTAGTCTGTGGGTGACAGCTGACAGTGACAGTTTTATTTAGTAATACTCGTTCTCGTTACCTATACCTACCTACTCGTCTTCGGTCTTCGCTTTCAGTTAAAGAAAATACAATCATAGTTTTTCTTTCTCAATTTACATTTAGTTGTGTAGTTAAAAGTTTAATGTAGTTCGAATTTTAATACATAATATTGTAAACAAGATTTTCATCACAGTTATATACCTACTTTTTCTTATGATTTTGCTTAAATCAATACTCATCATTGTGAATAATTTTAATTAGCATAAGAAACTTATTTATAGATTATAAGGTAAGATAACGCAATATATCGTAAGCTGGTATGATTATAGTCTTCTTTCACATTTATTTATTCCTTATTTTAACTAATTTCAGATTATGGAAGGTGCTTATGATGAAATAATATCAGATAATCCTTTCTTTAGAGACCTTAAAAATGAATATACTAATTTATTTCAACACTGCATTACACAATCTTGGATAATATGCGTGCCTCGTGTTGGTATCTTAAATACCCGGGTGTTTACAGTTGAAGATTTTTGTGCACATATTTTAGTTCCTAGTGATGAACTTCCAGAAACACATTACAGCACACTAACAGAGAAACAAGTTACTGTAACTAATAAAGTGATAACCTTAGAAGTTACTAAAGGCTTACCTCTACAAAGTCACATACTTTTTGAAGAAACATTCTACACTGAAGACTTTATCAAATACAAGGTATGGTGTATTGAAAGTGCCCTTGAACCTTCAACTACTACAAGTGATAATGTAGTTACAAAAGATTGTCTTTTATCAATAAATGATTGTATTGATCTTCTTTGGACACAAGCTGCTGGTCGTCATGTTCTAGACCAAATAGAACAAAATGTGCAGATATTTTTAAAAAAACACTCTTGTTTACCTATTGCTATAAGTACTCTTAGAGAGGCAATTAGTGAACTGTATACACTGTGCCTTCAAACAACATTACAAAATAGAAGACTTCGTGAGAAATCAAAAGCATCTAAACATATATTAGATAACATAAAGTTGGCTGTGGAAAGTTACATGCAACATCTTTTATTTGAATCATTATTCAAAACAATATGTACTAGTTGTGCCTATGAAGACTCGCACCTCAACAAAAAAATAAGGAATATGTCAGATATCCAGTTAAGGGACTTGGATATAAAAAAGGAATTATATCATGCAGTGCCTAAAGCAAAACAGATACTTTCAAAAATTGACACATACAGTTCTGTCTTGGAAAAAATATTATGCTTAAAACAAGCTCTTAATGCAATTAACAAAAATGATAATAGTTACAATGTTGTTCTATTAACTGCTGATGACTTATTACCAGTCTTTGTATTTTTACTCATTAAATCTGGTCTACCAAACTGGTATAGTCAGCTAACATATATGAAAGAATTTCGTTTTAGCTGTGTAGGCAAAGGAGACAGTGATGAAAGTGCTTTTCTAATAACCACCTTAGAGGCAGTTATTGAACATATTCAATCAGGTGCCTTGGCAGGGCCTCCTGATCCAGAGTCTCATTACTATTATGATAGTAACCTAACTGAAGAAAATTTACAAAGCAATACACAAAGGAGAAGTAGTTTGACAGAATCTATATCAACATCTGAAACCAATAGTAGAGAAGAAACACTTGAATATGTTTTTGAACTCATAAAGGCAAACCACACAGAACAGGTGCAAGCAATATTAGAAAAAAATCAAAAGCATTTAAAGAGTATTCAGCAAAATGAAAAAAGCATTTTAAAATTTGCTTTAGAGGAATCATTGAATAATAATAATGATGATGATGATGATGATGATGATGATAGCACTGAATCTGAAATATATCAAAAGCTTTGTCATCCGTTATGTAATTGCAAAAAATGTTGGTGTAAAATCTCAAAGAACCTTTTGAAGACTTCTCCGACTGTTACGTCTCGAGATAGTCATGGCCTCACTCCATTACATGTAGCATGTATTCATGGGAAAGCAGCCATCGTAGAAATACTCCTTGATATGGGCGCTGATGTGAATGCCACTGATCTAAATGAATCTATTCCTCTTCATTATGCAGCATCACGGGGTCATCAAAATGCATTATTATTATTACTTCACTCTGGAGCTGATATAAATAAACCAAATATTGACAAGAATACTCCTCTGCACTTAGCTGTGAATAATGGTCATATGAATTGTGTCAAGGCTCTTATATACTTTGCAGAGCATAGTAGAAAAAGAATAATTGTGAATTGTACCAATGAAAGTGGGAATACACCATTACATTTAGCTGCCAAATGGGGATATGAAGGAATAGCTAGATTACTAATTGAGAATGGTGCTGAACCATCTCGGCTAAATAAACACAACAAAACTGCGTTTGATTGTGCACATAATCTTAAGATCTTACAAGTTTTGAAATCTTGTACACCTAATTTGTATGAATATATACATATAACAAGTTCAGACATAAAAACTTTAAGTTGTAAATCAGACAATTTGGAATATCTTAAATTAGAAAAATTAAGTGTTAAAAATAGTGACTATGTGAATAATCCTACAAAAACTATTGAAAATTTAAAAAGAATTGAGAGAATATTGCAAGCTATATCATATGGTGATGTTAAACTTGCTTGTTTTTATTTAAATATTAATTATGACACATTTAATGAAAACACAAACACAGTTAAAGAGTCACTATGTCATCCTCTTTGCGAGTGCCAATATTGTAAGAGAAAGTCCCAATCACATGTTTCAGACTTTGACATAAATTTCTCAGACACAAATGGTTTCACAGCTTTACACTATGCTGCTCGTTTTGGTTTAGAAGAGTTGTGCAAAATTTTAATACATAACAAAGCTGATGTAAATTGTACCAATAGGAAAGGCCAAACTCCTTTACATTTAGCTGCTATATATAATAAGACTAAGGTTATTTCTTTACTTCTGGATAATGGCGCTAATATAAATGCAATTGATGTAGCTGGTAACACACCTTTGCATAATGCTAGTGACATGGGCAATATAGGCGCCACGAAAGAACTGATCAAATATAATCCTGACATATCATTATTGAATGCTTCAGAGAGATCTGCTTTGGATGTAGCTAAAAAAAAAGTCCATTTGACTATAATAGATTTAATAGAAAAATATTCAAGTAAATTGTAATTGCGTTTGTATGCAGGTCTGCATGGGTGTGTAAGCATGTCCTTGTGTAAAAGTACATTTATAAGTTATATTAGTTAGAATAGTAGGCATACAATGACGAATTTTATCACATTTAGAAAAATGAAATAACTTAAATATTATATTCATGTCAATATTAAATCTTAACATTCTATTGATAACTTTTTTACATTTATATATTTTATACATTTGTGCAATACTCATATTTACATTAATAATGACTAAAACATTATATTAATGATTGCAATAAAATATATGACTAACAGCAATCTTAAATTATACATAATTTACCAACACTATGTACAAAAACGTGTTTTAATTTTTTATAATAAAAAGTAATAATCAGATTTTTCATAATATGAGTAAGCACAAATATTATTTTTATTGTGTGCCATATACATAATCCTTCTATAAAGACTGATATTCATAACTTTATTTAAATTACTTTTAATTTGTATGACAATTGTAAATAAACATTTTCAACTCTCTCAAGTTTATATAACTACACTATGATAAAAATTTATATTAAACAGCCCTTAAGATAATTATGAATAAAATTTTATATTAAACATATTTCACTTTAATTCAAACTTGTTATTAAAATAATAAATTTTTTAAAATTTACCATTTAAGCTCTGAGAAGGGTAATATGAGTCAGTATTATAACAGGCTGTGAGGCATTCCATCTTAATCCTCAATAGATGACAACGCATCTTAACGTGGTAGAGCCATGCTGCAGCTATATTAGTAGTAGAGTTGTGGCACGAATGGGTCGGCTCGACTGGGGAAGGACCACGCTCACACAGAATACCAGCGTAAAATGGCAGCTCGACACTGCTGTGTTTCGTATGGTGAGTGTAGAGAACCGGAGACCCGTTTTACTGAAAAAGAGACGTTCCATCTTAGTCCTCAGGGTGACGACGCATCTGCATTTTGATTCTTCTTTGAGGATAAATTTTGATGTCTATGGGTCACAGCAACCACTTACTATCAGGTGGACTGTGTGCTCGTTTGTTACCTTATCGTATATAAAAAGCCTTCTTCGTTAAAAGTAGGTTACACGTTCCAACGACTGGAGTAGCCACCAGTAAATTCGTTTGTCATTTCAGTTTATTATAAAATAAATGTTTAAAATAAATCTCAAACAAGATTAATTAAATGTACTAAAATTGTTTTATTCTTCAGCAAAGATTCCAGCATAGAAATAAATTCAGAATTATTTAATTATTTCCGAAATATGGATTACAATTGTTCTTTATAATTCCAACAAAAGTTTAGCCAAGATATTCTGCTTTAAATGTGTAAAGTTTATTTAAATATTACAATTAAGATTTTTTTTTTAATTTAGCGTACAAGATAAAACAAATATTTGTATACACAATAAAATTCTACAATGAGTATAAAATTTAATGTAAATCTTATTTCCCTTCTTCACGAATGTAACAACATAATTAATAATATCCAATGAGGTCCTTCATAACACTTACTAACACTGCCATTCCAAAAGCTTTCTTCCGTCATCTGCTTAGTTTTGGGATATTTAACGGATTTTTGAAGTGAAAACTTCTTTAGAATCAGTGATTTGAAACTAAATGAAACTAAAAAGATACAAACATATAACACATATTGTGTATGGAGCACGGAGCAAATACAAAGAGGAGACGGCTTAAACAACTGTGCACTGTGATTCTAACTAGGTCCTGACGTCATCACAGTGGGCGTGGCTTTAACGTTAGTCACGTCTGTCAGCGTTCGTCCTGTGCGCTTGTGTGGCGAAAATCGCAAATCGGTGTATTTTCGTAGTATGAAGAAGAAAAGGAAGAAGTGTTGTGTTTTGTGTAATAAGTACTCAGATAGACGCTCAGAGGCAGCACGAGACAATTGAGCAGCGTTTGAGTATTCGGGCATAAAGGTTTCACTTCTTCCGTGTGGAAACTGTACACATGTATTTTGTATTCATTTTAAGTACAAAAAATTTGTAAATTCCAGCATATCTCGTATTTTATTTAATTGACATAAATAAAACTATAGGGTTAACCTGTCTAATTTGACCTATATCTGATGTCAAGTCCAAGGTAATTTATTCATTAGGGGTTGTAAAACAATTGGAATAGAATCTCTAATATGTATCATTATATTTCAAAATATACTTTGTTTTAGTGAAATCGCTTATACATACAATGTAAGTACTATAAAAAAATGAAAGGTACTCGTACCACCTACATTTCAGTCATAGGCTCAATTTACATTGCGGCGGAATAGAATGGAACGGAAGCGTCAATTTCGCCTCGTCGCGCGGGAAGGCGCGCGAATTCGTGGGAATGTCCGAGCATTCCCGCAGCTGAGCCTTAACGCTATATGCAGCACCATTCAATTATTTAGTCTACATCTTTTATTTGACAAGAATGGTTAATTGGATATTATTTTCATATTGCTTATTTGAAGAACATCAGAAAAAGGAAAAGAAATATTTGGGTTCATGATTTTTGGAAGAAATGAGAACGTCACCCTTCGCGCCACTTCCCGCGGATTCCACAGACTGCGCCGACAGTAGCTCCGGAATTCTCGAGAATGCGCGACAATTCCGCGGAAGATGCGCGACTTCTTCTTTTGGCTCATATCTAGTTTGCACGTTACACAATTAACATAAAATTCATTTTACTATGTACAACTTCGTTACAAAAATTCGCTTCCATTCCGTTCCGCGGCAATGTAAATTGAGCCTTACAGCCAATGTCTTGTCTTGATTTTTAATAGATACATTAAAGTTAACAATAAACTCTTACTAGTAATTTAAAAATAACTTGTCCCATTTTTATAGACTTAGGGCGGATTTTGCAATCGTCAAATAAATTGTAACCTGACTGGACATAAAAGATATACATAAAAGTCATGCAACTGTAAGTTAATTTTTGATTATGTTGTATTTTATCCTACGAATAAATATCTCAAGATTGTAAAATTGACCCTTACACTAATATAATGTGCACAACGAATCAAATCAATTGTAAAACACGTAAACATGAAATAGCCATTACTTAAAAATAAAATTACGTCACAAACTGTAATAACATCAAACTATCACATTACACAAGTTTAATGATAATTGCTACAATTACCATTAAACTTATTACCCTAAAATTGTAATGCACGCGGAACGAATATTTGATATACTCGAAAGCGAGGCAGTCTAAATCAATCGTGTTCTGTATCAATAATTGTAAGCGTAGGGTATCTATACGAAAATAAGGATATTATAACGTTTCCTTTTGTCTCAGCATAGGTATAAAACTGTTTATATGGTATTAGTACGATATTGACTGTTAACGAAGAAATAACGGCGAAATCAGCGATCTACTTATCAAATTGCCTCACAGTGCTTGTGCTCACTAGCTTTTTGTACATTTTTATTATTCTATACTTAGTACGTATAAAACATAATAATGCAAGCCTAGTAATTATTATAGACTAAAGCTAAAAATAAGTTTTATGAAATTTAAATGATTGATTTTCATAAAGTTTGAAGTTATTATTTAACTATAGGAACTTGTTAAAGCGTTATAAAAGGAATATACTTTAAATCTAAAAAAAACTGTCGCAAATGTCGTAGAATTCACTACTGTATTATTCCGTGGGTGTCGTAAGAGGTGACAGAAAATAGAATAGAATCATTTTTATTCAATATAGAAGAAGATTATAGTACATAATACTTATTGAGTCATTTTTTACTTTAACCACTGGTTCGCAAAAAAAAACCTCTGTCCTGGGAAGAACCAGCAAGAAACCCAGCGGGACTTTAAAGAAAAGAAAAACAATTTACAATATAATATATTATACAATTATTATGAAAACATTTAGAAACAACATGGTAGCGATCACCTCATTCCCAGGGGTTATTATCAGTCATGTACTCTTTAGTAGTATAATAACCCTTACTTGACAATTTTTGCTTAATAAATAATTTAAACCTTTTGATAGAAAAGGTCTGCATATTTTCTGGGACTTTGTTGTAAAGGCGTATACATTGCCCCATGAAGGAATTACGGACCCTTTGGAGTCGAGTAACTGGTATAACTAACTTGTCCTTGTTCCTAGTAAAACTATTTTTTTGTGTACATACAATAAGTTCTCGTAAATATTGAATCAAACTACTTTTACGGATTCTATCGCGTTTAATTAACATATTTTTATTAATTAGGCACCCGAAATGTCGGGAATTAATAAAAATAAGTTGATTAAATCCATTAAAGTAGTTTGATTCAATGTGTAGTATTCGCGTAAACATAAGAAATCATTCTCGTAAATATATTGAGAGGCCAAAGTTAATATATTTATTTCTTAAATTTTTCTCTAAGGGATTCCTTCGGACCTAGATTATAAATTGCTCTTATGACTCTCTTTTGCAAAACAAAGATAGTTTCAATGTCAGTCGCAATACCCCATAGCAAGAAATCATATGACATCCTATGGAAATTACTAAAATAAACTAATCTAGCTGTTTCAACACATGTAAGGCATTTAATCTGTTTTACGGCATATCCTGTAGAACTAAGTTTGCTAGCTAGTTTAGATATATGAGAGCCCCATTGTAACTTCGCGACAACTGTAACACCGAGAAAAACAGTGGATTCAACAAGACCCAGCTCCTACCCACTTAAAGGCACATTGGTATTCACCTCTTTAACATTAGGTGTAGTGAATTTAATACATTTCGTTTTATTACCGTTCAAAAGCAAATTATTGAAGTTAAACCAGTGAACTACTTTTGATATAGCATTATTTACTTCGTTATATTACAATAATTACCATTTTAGTCGGAAAATCAACGAAGTATCATCAGCAAATAATACGAAACAGATAAGCGGACAAAATATCTGGACCTGGCTCACGAGGTGACCGACATGTGGGGTGGTTGCCGAACAAAATTATTCCTGTGGTCGTTTCTGCAAATGGGCTAATCACAGTCAGCATCTCAGGTCATCTGAGGCGACTGGGACTCCATGACGGACCGCTCCGGGCTCAAGTGCAGATGGCGGTGCTCCTCGATACGCCCGCATAGTAAGCCGGTTTCTTTCCCTTTCCCCCTAACCCTAGGCCGTTTGGTCTCCTCTGCCGAGGGCTTCCACCTGGTTGGGTTTTTATTTATTCATGTATTATTTATTTATTTATGTTAGTATAAATGTTTAATATACATATTTATGTATATTTATCATTTCCTTTTATATAATCATTCAGTCCAACCAGATAAGAATACTTTACAAATACCCCTCCATAAACAATAATTATAATAATAAAAATTTCATTTTAGATAACCATGCAATCTATATACATAATTTGTTAGTAAATAAGTCGAAACGTCGTAAGAAAAGCCGTTGATCCTACGCCTGATCTCTATTGAGTACTAGTAGAGTGATAGTACAGTAATTCGACACGACCAGATGGTCGTGACGAATTGCTGTACTATCGTACTGTGAATGTGAAAGAATAGAGAGAGCACCTGCACTTACGCACACACTCGTGCACTATAACCATAACCCTGTCCTGCGCAGATGGCTAGTATCCGTTGAGACTAGGTTCTGTGACCGAAATTCGGTCGGGAGGCAATAAATTATTATATTATATTATGATAAGCTTATAATAGACTTCATGTAGTGAACAAATAAATTGCAATGATGTTATTTTGACACGACTGAGGTTATTACAATAAATGGATACACATTTGTAAGTAAACCTAAGCCAATACATTTCAGAACAGATATATACAAACAGTTTTATAATAAGCCCTTAAGATAATTATGAATTTTAAGTTTATTTTGGTCCCAATACGTCACTTATCTGTCATTAGTAATGTATGTTAGCTATACTTAGAATATATATACTTAGAATTAGGAATATCTTTAAATATTTTGTATATATGTAAATTGTAAAACAACTAAAGTGCACAATATGTAAAATATAAGTAATTTAAATGTAAAAGTCGACTTCAAAGAACTGAAATGAATACAATAATTTTCACATAATAGCTTAAGAATAAAAGCTCCGACTTCTGAAGCAGTAATGTGGAAATTATTTTATTATTTTTAGGACTTTACATTTTATTAAAAATTTATTTTTTACGATTTTGAATGCACTAAAGAATATCATCACAAGCTCAAGATATCAAGTAGAATGTTGTCTAAATAATTGTACTAAAAACTTCATCCTCTATTTTACCGCCCTTAGGGATAGATGGAATTATATAGGACAACCACTGAAGTATAACTTATTTCATTAATAAATAAATAGTCATTAAAATCGGTTCACAACTAACTACTAATAACTATATCGATAACTAACTAATATCGATTTTATGAAGTCAGCTAAAAATATGACTAACTTGCAGCTTACCTCTAAAGCCCGATTTACTATTGGTCAATTTCATAACGAAATGGCAAGTAGAGTCGACTCTCGATAATTTGACACTCGTTGATTTGATTCTCTCCAGTTTAAAACTTTTTCCCGGTCCCTTGAAAAATACTCGATAAAATTAATAAAATCCATAATAATCGGTCCCCTGGGTAATTTGAAGTTGAAGAAATAGTATCTTGCCTGCCAACATGCAAAATATTGAAGTTGCGCTTTTTTTATAGAATTAGACATCTACATCTATCTTCGTTTGCGAATCAAAATGCAGATGCGTTGGCAGCCGTGAGGACTAAGATAGAATGCCTCTTTTCCAGTAAAATCGGTCTCCGGTTCTCTACAGTCATCATACGAAACACAGCAGCATTAAGCTGCTATTTTACGCTGGTATTCTGTGAGGTATCCTGTTGAGTGTTTCCCTACTCTCGATAATTTAAAGCGTTTATCATACACAGACCTGTCGTTTGTTTTACATACATGTACAGACCTGTCAACACTCAACAGAAAATTACGAACTTCTTTTTAAAATAAACATTTGTGAATAATAATTATTGGACAAATGTTTAAAATAATAAATCACGAATTTTGTACAAACTCTTGTTTACTTGATTTTTTCCTTCCCTCCCTCTTGGTTGTTTAAACTCCCGTTATTTTGAACTTTTGGTAATTTGAAGTCTGGTCTGTTGAGTTTCAAATTATAGAGAGTCGACGGACTGTACAAGTAAAGTGGTCAGTAGCCAAGGACAGTAACTACATTACAGCCAGTAGTGTAATTTCATCGCTAGAAAGGAAGTTATTATATAATAATTATATAATAACTTCCTTTATAAATATAATAAATATATTATTTACAATATTACAATTATTGTTGCAAATAAGCAAGAAATTATACAACAATGAAATAAATTTGAAAGCAAAAATGGATAAGTAGAAAGCCTGCTTATATATGCGCATAACTTGCTATTGAAGATCGCAATAAATGTCGTTATTTAATGACAATGATACAATAATCATTCAATTGCTTACTGGATAGTCTTTTTCTTAATTATTGGCTACTCTAAAAGAATTCGACTAATATCATGTTACTCGTGGAAGTGACAGAAAAAATATTATGAACAATTGATTGAAAATCCCAAATCTAAAACAAAGACCACAATCAAGATATAAGATTTCAATTTTTAACGTGGGAACTAGTAGCAGGAATGGGTAGGCTGGACCGGGGTAGGACCACGCTCTCACACAATACCAGCGTAAAATAGCAGCTTAATTCTTCTTTGTTTTGTATGGCAAATGTAGAGAACCGGAGACCCTTTTAACTGGAAACGAGGCATTCCATCCTAGTCCTCAGGGGTGACAGCGCATCTGCATTTTGAATCTTAATCGAGAATAAATGTAGATGTCTATGAGCCTACCTTACCATCAGGTGAACTGTGTGTTTGACTGTCCCCTTTATTCTATAAAATAAAAGATCAATTACGTCTGTTAGACATAAAATTAATATTTTAATGCCAGCCAAATTGACTCGCCATGGTCCGATCGGTTAACACTACTGTCCTCATCTTCTGTACTTACCGACTTCGCTAATCACTTTCCTAATGTAAATCGGCCTTTATGATGTAATATAAACATTTTTAAATAAGAAATAAATAAGTGTATCTACAGCCTTACTAAAAAAAAACAATACGACTAATTCCTCTAATAAGTAAGGTGGCCAAACAGGCGTGTCACTTTGTAAAAATCTGAGGTATGGAAAATGGTGGCGCGATTTTCAAATTTGTTCGCATTACTCGTGGGGTATTAAGGTTTAAGAGTTTGCAGTGTATATACTCAACTTATTTATTGAACTATAAGATGTGGGGTATTGAGGTTTAAAGGCTTGCGATTTATTTATATGGGGTTTGTAGTAATATGCGATTTATTTCCTAATTTCAGCTATGGAATTCCATACCTTGAAAAACTTGAGGTATGGAGTGCTCCATACCTTCCATAGTGCAAGTGACACCCCTGTGGCCAAACCTGCTGCATTCTGCGAAACAGAATTTACGTATTTTAATAATATAATCCCGCAAAAGTAATATAGTGCAACGAGACAGAATATTGTATCATTCTGTCTCGTTTCGACATCGAAGAATACCATTCACGTAACCTTACTAACCGGCGTTATAGTTATATAGAACATACTATAATAGATTTACATGGATTAAAAACCCATTAGAGTTCACATGTCTTTTAAAAGCTAGTTAGCGATAACTGCACATTCACTGTTCATATCCTTGGCACAATTTCATCTCAAATCTAATCTAAACTTAATAATATTTATTTACAATAGATATTTGTGTACTAATAAATAGTTAACTTTTGTGAAAAGGTCATACTCAAAGTACTCTTACTAACCACACTCATAACTTAGTACTATTAAATTCTTTGTTAGAATACTCACAATAACAACAATATATTAACTATGATATAACTATGTCAAATGTGTGCTTATCTACTGTGGGGGTAAACACCATACAGGAATCTCTTCCTTCTTCTTCTCCCTCTTCTTGTAATGCCTGTCTCTCAATCTGACGTCGTCTTGTCGTAACCTTAATTCTGAAGCTTGCTCACTCCTCCAATCAGTTATTTTCCTCGGAGAGCCATCTTTCTTATACCTGTAATATCTTTCAGGTTCTTTTTTCTCTTCAACGTAAACTCTGCTCTTTACGAACAATTCATTTTTCTCTGGATCACAGTACTCTAAAGGTAATTCATCTACATAGTCATAGTCATCGTTTAATTCGAAAACATCGTCTCTATTAAATGTGAAAGTATGAGGGTAATATGTGTGCAAGATATCTTCTTGTCTGAATTGTTGCATTTGCAGCCAGACGTGTGGTAGCAGCAGCGGGAACCGACGTAGCCAATATGTGACGAAACCCTCTGGCAGTTTGCCCAGGCTCTCGCGGACTTCTGGGTCCAACTCCCTGTAGTGATGTTTCTGCAAAAAAAACAATAATGATCTTTCGCAACCAGATATAATTCAAACAATTCGAATTTAAGTTAAATCGTCCTAAAAAATTAACATATTTATCCTCTCAGCACAACTTATCCCGAGTAAGATCCCAGCCAACTTCGCAATAATTGTTAAACGCATTTTATATACAGGAGCAGGAGGGGTGTCTCTTCTCCTGCCCCCTGCCTTCCTGAGGTGAAGTCGCTAGGAAAGAGGAGCAGCGGCTCTGGGCAGCAACACCGCTAATGAAGCGGCGGTGGAGCCGCAGAGCAATAGAAGTGTCGATTTTACCTACTATTTTTTTTTTTCATAATAAAATAGCTTAAAATAAAAGGTCGGGGGAAAAGTTTCTTCATATTTTATATAGAAAAACAAAGCAATTTTTAAAAGACTAATTACATTTAATTATAATATGTATGTGCCATTTTGTTCGATAACTTGTTGCCATCTTGTAGGTAGTGACATAATCTCGTTGCTGTAGAAATCTTGGGCTTTTTAATAAAAAAAAATGGAACAAGTACTTTTGACAGTCCTCTCTTGATGTTAACTTAACACTGCCCAAAGAATTCTGAAGAAACCAAAGCAGATGAAAAACTGAGGGTGCAAGGTGAGAACTATATGATGGATGGATTAACACTTCCCAACTAAGCTCTCTCAATTTTTGCTGAGTGGCCAAAAATGTGTGTGGTCTGGCGTTATCATGATGAAAGGCCACTCCTTTTCTGTTGAACAATTGCGGCCGTTTTTTCTCAATTCCTTGCTTGAGTTTTATCAGTTATTAGCTCATAATAAACAATGCCCTTCCAATCCCATCATAAACATAGCATCACCTTATTGCGTGTTAATCCGGACTTACTACAGTCTGTGAAGTTTGACCATCCTTTCACCATGACCTTTTAGCACGTCCTTGTCGTAGGTGATCCAATTTTTAATACTATAATATTTTAATAATGATCAATCTTTTAAAAAATGGTTAGGTTTTATTACGTTTCAATAGGGAATCGCAATGAATTCACGATTCGCTGATTTACCACGTGCTCGGCGGTGAAGGAAAACATCGTGAGGAAGCCTGCATGTCTAAGATATAAGAAAAAAAATTCGAAGACATGTGAATTTCGCCAATACGCATTGAGGCAGCGCGGCGGACATTTCTTTGCCCTAAATCCCTCTCAGAAATGAGAGGAGGCCTGTGCCCAGCAGTGGGACGTAAATAGGCTGTAACTTTACTTTACACAATTCATTAGATTTCTTTCAGTGAGCTCGTGTGGTACCCAAATATCGAGTTTTTTTGTATAGCCAGACTTTTTCAAATGGGTCAAAACTGTTTTGTGGTCAATCCTCAATTAATCGGCTATGTCGTAATTACCAAGATGCCGATCTTGCTCCACTTTTTCAAAAATGGCATCGACTTTATCCGTATGAGAGCGACAGGAGCGAGCTGAATCTTTGACATCAAAATTCCCAGACTGAAAATGCTTGAACCAACGTACTGCTACTCTTACTAACACTGCGTTAAAACGTCACAAATATTTTCGCGGTTTGATTCGCATATTTCCCTTTTTTGTAAATATAACTTCAGAATGTATCGAATTTCTTCGTTAGATTCACTCATTTTGGCGAACAGAAAAGTAATTGAAAAATAGCGGGGAAAGTGTGTTTTTACTCTTTATTTTTATTTTTCTTCTTATATGCATTGATATTCAAAACAGCCAGATACAAATAGTACAACCGCAGATTTTTCTTCAATTTTATACAAACAAAATACAAAGAAACTTTTCCCCCCATCTATTACACTGGTTTTTAATTTCTTGCACGCCATATACACTGGCGGCAAAATTCGTGCTACCCGGCAAAATGCTAAACCATAATCTTGCTTCTAATTTTTCAAGGGAATAACGACCTTTTTTACTTTAATCATCGTGGTCGCCGGCTGTACGTACACGACGTGTGGTTACCTTGTTGCGCACGGCGCGCAGCAGGTGCGCCACGCGGTCGCCGCGGTACGTGCGGCGCGCGCGCAGGTCGCCGGCTGTACGTACGCGACGTGTGGTTACCTTGTTGCGCACGGCGCGCAGCAGGTGCGCCACGCGGTCGCCGCGGTACGTGCGGCGCGCGCGCAGGTCGCCGGCTGTACGTACGCGACGTGTGGTTACCTTGTTGCGCACGGCGCGCAGCAGGTGCGCCACGCGGTCGCCGCGGTACGTGCGGCGCGCAGCAGGTGCGCGCAGGTCGCCGGCTGTACGTACGCGACGTGTGGTTACCTTGTTGCGCACGGCGCGCAGCAGGTGCGCCACGCGGTCGCCGCGGTACGTGCGGCGCGCGCGCAGGTCGCCGGCTGTACGTACGCGACGTGTGGTTACCTTGTTGCGCACGGCGCGCAGCAGGTGCGCCACGCGGTCGCCGCGGTACGTGCGGCGCGCGCGCAGGTCGCCGGCTGTACGTACGCGACGTGTGGTTACCTTGTTGCGCACGGCGCGCAGCAGGTGCGCCACGCGGTCGCCGCGGTACGTGCGGCGCGCGCGCAGGTCGCCGGCTGTACGTACGCGACGTGTGGTTACCTTGTTGCGCACGGCGCGCAGCAGGTGCGCCACGCGGTCGCCGCGGTACGTGCGGCGCGCGCGCAGGTCGCCGGCTGTACGTACGCGACGTGTGGTTACCTTGTTGCGCACGGCGCGCAGCAGGTGCGCCACGCGGTCGCCGCGGTACGTGCGGCGCGCGCGCAGGTCGCCGGCTGTACGTACGCGACGTGTGGTTACCTTGTTGCGCACGGCGCGCAGCAGGTGCGCCACGCGGTCGCCGCGGTACGTGCGGCGCGCGCGCAGGTCGCCGGCTGTACGTACGCGACGTGTGGTTACCTTGTTGCGCACGGCGCGCAGCAGGTGCGCCACGCGGTCGCCGCGGTACGTGCGGCGCGCGCGCAGGTCGCCGGCTGTACGTACGCGACGTGTGGTTACCTTGTTGCGCACGGCGCGCAGCAGGTGCGCCACGCGGTCGCCGCGGTACGTGCGGCGCGCGCGCAGGTCGCCGGCTGTACGTACGCGACGTGTGGTTACCTTGTTGCGCACGGCGCGCAGCAGGTGCGCCACGCGGTCGCCGCGGTACGTGCGGCGCGCAGCAGGTGCGCGCAGGTCGCCGGCTGTACGTACGCGACGTGTGGTTACCTTGTTGCGCACGGCGCGCAGCAGGTGCGCCACGCGGTCGCCGCGGTACGTGCGGCGCGCGCGCAGGTCGCCGGCTGTACGTACGCGACGTGTGGTTACCTTGTTGCGCACGGCGCGCAGCAGGTGCGCCACGCGGTCGCCGCGGTACGTGCGGCGCGCGCGCAGGTCGCCGGCTGTACGTACGCGACGTGTGGTTACCTTGTTGCGCACGGCGCGCAGCAGGTGCGCCACGCGGTCGCCGCGGTACGTGCGGCGCGCGCGCAGGTCGCCGGCTGTACGTACGCGACGTGTGGTTACCTTGTTGCGCACGGCGCGCAGCAGGTGCGCCACGCGGTCGCCGCGGTACGTGCGGCGCGCGCGCATGTCGCCGGCTGTACGTACGCGACGTGTGGTTACCTTGTTGCGCACGGCGCGCAGCAGGTGCGCCACGCGGTCGCCGCGGTACGTGCGGCGCGCGCGCAGGTCGCCGGCTGTACGTACGCGACGTGTGGTTACCTTGTTGCGCACGGCGCGCAGCAGGTGCGCCACGCGGTCGCCGCGGTACGTGCGGCGCGCAGCAGGTGCGCGCAGGTCGCCGGCTGTACGTACGCGACGTGTGGTTACCTTGTTGCGCACGGCGCGCAGCAGGTGCGCCACGCGGTCGCCGCGGTACGTGCGGCGCGCGCGCAGGTCGCCGGCTGTACGTACGCGACGTGTGGTTACCTTGTTGCGCACGGCGCGCAGCAGGTGCGCCACGCGGTCGCCGCGGTACGTGCGGCGCGCAGCAGGTGCGCGCAGGTCGCCGGCTGTACGTACGCGACGTGTGGTTACCTTGTTGCGCACGGCGCGCAGCAGGTGCGCCACGCGGTCGCCGCGGTACGTGCGGCGCGCGCGCAGGTCGCCGGCTGTACGTACGCGACGTGTGGTTACCTTGTTGCGCACGGCGCGCAGCAGGTGCGCCACGCGGTCGCCGCGGTACGTGCGGCGCGCGCGCAGGTCGCCGGCTGTACGTACGCGACGTGTGGTTACCTTGTTGCGCACGGCGCGCAGCAGGTGCGCCACGCGGTCGCCGCGGTACGTGCGGCGCGCGCGCAGGTCGCCGGCTGTACGTACGCGACGTGTGGTTACCTTGTTGCGCACGGCGCGCAGCAGGTGCGCCACGCGGTCGCCGCGGTACGTGCGGCGCGCGCGCAGGTCGCCGGCTGTACGTACGCGACGTGTGGTTACCTTGTTGCGCACGGCGCGCAGCAGGTGCGCCACGCGGTCGCCGCGGTACGTGCGGCGCGCGCGCAGGTCGCCGGCTGTACGTACGCGACGTGTGGTTACCTTGTTGCGCACGGCGCGCAGCAGGTGCGCCACGCGGTCGCCGCGGTACGTGCGGCGCGCGCGCAGGTCGCCGGCTGTACGTACGCGACGTGTGGTTACCTTGTTGCGCACGGCGCGCAGCAGGTGCGCCACGCGGTCGCCGCGGTACGTGCGGCGCGCGCGCAGGTCGCCGGCTGTACGTACGCGACGTGTGGTTACCTTGTTGCGCACGGCGCGCAGCAGGTGCGCCACGCGGTCGCCGCGGTACGTGCGGCGCGCGCGCAGGTCGCCGGCTGTACGTACGCGACGTGTGGTTACCTTGTTGCGCACGGCGCGCAGCAGGTGCGCCACGCGGTCGCCGCGGTACGTGCGGCGCGCAGCAGGTGCGCGCAGGTCGCCGGCTGTACGTACGCGACGTGTGGTTACCTTGTTGCGCACGGCGCGCAGCAGGTGCGCCACGCGGTCGCCGCGGTACGTGCGGCGCGCGCGCAGGTCGCCGGCTGTACGTACGCGACGTGTGGTTACCTTGTTGCGCACGGCGCGCAGCAGGTGCGCCACGCGGTCGCCGCGGTACGTGCGGCGCGCGCGCAGGTCGCCGGCTGTACGTACGCGACGTGTGGTTACCTTGTTGCGCACGGCGCGCAGCAGGTGCGCCACGCGGTCGCCGCGGTACGTGCGGCGCGCAGCAGGTGCGCGCAGGTCGCCGGCTGTACGTACGCGACGTGTGGTTACCTTGTTGCGCACGGCGCGCAGCAGGTGCGCCACGCGGTCGCCGCGGTACGTGCGGCGCGCGCGCAGGTCGCCGGCTGTACGTACGCGACGTGTGGTTACCTTGTTGCGCACGGCGCGCAGCAGGTGCGCCACGCGGTCGCCGCGGTACGTGCGGCGCGCGCGCAGGTCGCCGGCTGTACGTACGCGACGTGTGGTTACCTTGTTGCGCACGGCGCGCAGCAGGTGCGCCACGCGGTCGCCGCGGTACGTGCGGCGCGCAGCAGGTGCGCGCAGGTCGCCGGCTGTACGTACGCGACGTGTGGTTACCTTGTTGCGCACGGCGCGCAGCAGGTGCGCCACGCGGTCGCCGCGGTACGTGCGGCGCGCGCGCAGGTCGCCGGCTGTACGTACGCGACGTGTGGTTACCTTGTTGCGCACGGCGCGCAGCAGGTGCGCCACGCGGTCGCCGCGGTACGTGCGGCGCGCGCGCAGGTCGCCGGCTGTACGTACGCGACGTGTGGTTACCTTGTTGCGCACGGCGCGCAGCAGGTGCGCCACGCGGTCGCCGCGGTACGTGCGGCGCGCGCGCAGGTCGCCGGCTGTACGTACGCGACGTGTGGTTACCTTGTTGCGCACGGCGCGCAGCAGGTGCGCCACGCGGTCGCCGCGGTACGTGCGGCGCGCGCGCAGGTCGCCGGCTGTACGTACGCGACGTGTGGTTACCTTGTTGCGCACGGCGCGCAGCAGGTGCGCCACGCGGTCGCCGCGGTACGTGCGGCGCGCGCGCAGGTCGCCGGCTGTACGTACGCGACGTGTGGTTACCTTGTTGCGCACGGCGCGCAGCAGGTGCGCCACGCGGTCGCCGCGGTACGTGCGGCGCGCGCGCAGGTCGCCGGCTGTACGTACGCGACGTGTGGTTACCTTGTTGCGCACGGCGCGCAGCAGGTGCGCCACGCGGTCGCCGCGGTACGTGCGGCGCGCAGCAGGTGCGCGCAGGTCGCCGGCTGTACGTACGCGACGTGTGGTTACCTTGTTGCGCACGGCGCGCAGCAGGTGCGCCACGCGGTCGCCGCGGTACGTGCGGCGCGCGCGCAGGTCGCCGGCTGTACGTACGCGACGTGTGGTTACCTTGTTGCGCACGGCGCGCAGCAGGTGCGCCACGCGGTCGCCGCGGTACGTGCGGCGCGCGCGCAGGTCGCCGGCTGTACGTACGCGACGTGTGGTTACCTTGTTGCGCACGGCGCGCAGCAGGTGCGCCACGCGGTCGCCGCGGTACGTGCGGCGCGCGCGCAGGTCGCCGGCTGTACGTACGCGACGTGTGGTTACCTTGTTGCGCACGGCGCGCAGCAGGTGCGCCACGCGGTCGCCGCGGTACGTGCGGCGCGCAGCAGGTGCGCGCAGGTCGCCGGCTGTACGTACGCGACGTGTGGTTACCTTGTTGCGCACGGCGCGCAGCAGGTGCGCCACGCGGTCGCCGCGGTACGTGCGGCGCGCGCGCAGGTCGCCGGCTGTACGTACGCGACGTGTGGTTACCTTGTTGCGCACGGCGCGCAGCAGGTGCGCCACGCGGTCGCCGCGGTACGTGCGGCGCGCAGCAGGTGCGCGCAGGTCGCCGGCTGTACGTACGCGACGTGTGGTTACCTTGTTGCGCACGGCGCGCAGCAGGTGCGCCACGCGGTCGCCGCGGTACGTGCGGCGCGCGCGCAGGTCGCCGGCTGTACGTACGCGACGTGTGGTTACCTTGTTGCGCACGGCGCGCAGCAGGTGCGCCACGCGGTCGCCGCGGTACGTGCGGCGCGCGCGCAGGTCGCCGGCTGTACGTACGCGACGTGTGGTTACCTTGTTGCGCACGGCGCGCAGCAGGTGCGCCACGCGGTCGCCGCGGTACGTGCGGCGCGCGCGCAGGTCGCCGGCTGTACGTACGCGACGTGTGGTTACCTTGTTGCGCACGGCGCGCAGCAGGTGCGCCACGCGGTCGCCGCGGTACGTGCGGCGCGCGCGCAGGTCGCCGGCTGTACGTACGCGACGTGTGGTTACCTTGTTGCGCACGGCGCGCAGCAGGTGCGCCACGCGGTCGCCGCGGTACGTGCGGCGCGCGCGCAGGTCGCCGGCTGTACGTACGCGACGTGTGGTTACCTTGTTGCGCACGGCGCGCAGCAGGTGCGCCACGCGGTCGCCGCGGTACGTGCGGCGCGCGCGCAGGTCGCCGGCTGTACGTACGCGACGTGTGGTTACCTTGTTGCGCACGGCGCGCAGCAGGTGCGCCACGCGGTCGCCGCGGTACGTGCGGCGCGCGCGCAGGTCGCCGGCTGTACGTACGCGACGTGTGGTTACCTTGTTGCGCACGGCGCGCAGCAGGTGCGCCACGCGGTCGCCGCGGTACGTGCGGCGCGCGCGCAGGTCGCCGGCTGTACGTACGCGACGTGTGGTTACCTTGTTGCGCACGGCGCGCAGCAGGTGCGCCACGCGGTCGCCGCGGTACGTGCGGCGCGCGCGCAGGTCGCCGGCTGTACGTACGCGACGTGTGGTTACCTTGTTGCGCACGGCGCGCAGCAGGTGCGCCACGCGGTCGCCGCGGTACGTGCGGCGCGCGCGCAGGTCGCCGGCTGTACGTACGCGACGTGTGGTTACCTTGTTGCGCACGGCGCGCAGCAGGTGCGCCACGCGGTCGCCGCGGTACGTGCGGCGCGCGCGCAGGTCGCCGGCTGTACGTACGCGACGTGTGGTTACCTTGTTGCGCACGGCGCGCAGCAGGTGCGCCACGCGGTCGCCGCGGTACGTGCGGCGCGCGCGCAGGTCGCCGGCGACGGCCGCGCTCACGTGCGCGCGCCAGTCTCCACGCACCACGCGCGCCGCTCCAGTCTCCAGCGGGTGCTCCGTACCGTCCCACGTGCAACTCTCCACTTGGTCGCTCACATCCTATACATTTTACAATTAATAACTTATAGACCCATAGTCTCTAAGTAACTAAGACATTAAATCAATCGCGACTTCATAAAAATTACAGTTAAGAAACAGAGTTTCCTTACTGTACTGTCAGAGAGATCTTATTTGAAGCAATAATACATTGTTAGATAATGTAAAAATACAGTTTATTTATTTAAACATGTAGAGAGTAGTAAATAGTAGTAATTACGTAAACAATGAACTTAATTAAAAACCAACAATGACTTCACGTACCTGAAGGAAGTTAAGTATGCACTGCTTGCCCCAAAACATTGGATATTTGAGTATAGTCTCGCAGGGCGGTCGCAAATGCGGTCTATTCGATATCATTGCGCGTATTAGAACTTTCGTCACTAGCAACTCTTCCTCCGGTAAAATTTTACTGCAAATGCAAACAATATTTACTGGTATACAAATGAAGTTTTGTCAGAAAACAAATTCTGGGGTTTATTACAAACTAGCTGTGCCCCGCGGTTTCACCCGCGTCATCACGTGTCCAAGGTGCGCGACATGACCTAGTTCAAGCATTTTATAACGGTTTAGGCGTCGTTCGCGCGCCCAGCCAAATATTGAATTATTTCAATTTTACATTATCTTTTAAACTATGCGTCCAAATAACATGGTATAAAGAACAAAGTTTATCTTCATAAAATTGTCTTGATGATGAAGTAACTTTCGTTCGTAAGGATAAATAGGCCATGGCTAATAATAACGCTCATAAATCACTTTTAAATTTTAAATATTTTTTGTCACAAAATACCGAATTATGGCTTATGTATAAGAAATAGACATATGGTATCGTGGACTTTTTTTTAGACGAAGTAAAGGTCTATATTTTTCTAGAACATTGTATTTACGTATCCCTAACGATAACACCAGCGTAAGCAGATAAATCATTTCGGGAATGCTTTTTCTTCTGACTTGTTTAACAAATATCCCAATTTAAGGCTAGCTGAGTAATATAGCTTAATGCTAGATAGCCTGTACTATTCCACATGAATCTAGCTATAATATACAAAAAGAATTTTTCAAATCGGACTGGTAGTTCCAGAGATTAGCGCGTTTAAACAAACAAAAAAACAAAAAAACTCTTCCGCTTTATTATATTAGTATAGATTAGCAAGAAGACATCATTGACAAGTTATAATGGCATGATTACAAAAAGGATTTTCTCATTTTTTAATTTATAGCCTTAAAAGCGATGTATTCTAGAACAATCTGTAGGATAACTAAAAAGAGATAAAATATTTATTTAATAAATCGAATATGATGTACTCACTCTAGTTGTTCTAAACTGTAATCACCAGTCAGTATGTTCGCTTGCCGCCTTAACACGTCTCCAAACGGGTGATGTCCGGAAGATAGCACGTAATAGAACACACAGCCCAACGAAAAAATGTCTACCGAGGTGGTCTACAAAATAAAGCATGATTAATGAATTAATAGCAATGAAAAAAAAAACAATCAAAAATGAACCATCTTGTAAAATAATTAACAGATTACAAAGTAGGGAAATAACTCTACCATCTAATAAAAATATTGACAATTTGTTTTAATAATATTATAGGCTGTTTAAGCTCGTGTAAAGTATAGCTTTACCATTTTAATTTTAGTATCGAAAAATCAACGTATTTACAAAATGGTTTCTTATATACCTCTACATAGGAAGGAACTCGTTAATTATACTATGAAAATAAGCCAATTACAGGGGAAAAAGCAGTTATGAAACATATTTTACATGTACTTAGCAATGTTTACCTACTAGCCCAATAACAGCAATAAGTACTAAAATTAAACAAATATAAAACATGGTACAAAAAATTACCGTTCGTTCACCGTTGATCATTTCGGGCGCGATCCAACCGTCGGTTCCAGTTACTCCAGAGCGACGTGAGAAGCTGACTCGTCCTATATTTAACTTCTTCGAAAGACCAAAGTCTGAGATCATAGCTCTGACTTCACCTGACCCAGTCGGCATTGATAACAGGACGTTGTGAGGTTTAATGTCTCTGTGCACTGGAAATTATATTTTAATATATAAAAAACTCATAAAGGGCTGGACCGATTGTGATTAAATTTTTTGTGTGTGTTTGAATGGCTTCCTGGATGATCTAAACTATTCACAATTGGACCCGGTAGGTGGCACCGCTATCGAGATCCCCGTGCGAAGCCGGAGCGGATCGCTAGTTTTTAATAGCAATTTAGAGCCTAAAATATTACAATTTTAGAGGTAAAATTAGTTTTGCAAAATAGTTATCGAAGCGGCACACAAAGCCTTTATTAAATTTGTAAGAATAAAGACGTAAAATAGAACCAACTTATCTTTTTTGTTACCTTCTTATTACCTACTTAGATCTAGATATATGATGATGAAGGTAACGGTACCTTCATCATCAGACAATCTATCACCCCATCGGCCGATCGTAAACCAAGCCAAGCGTGACTTTAAGCAAATCATCCTACAAAGGGAGAGAGGAATATGTGTAACTTTAGACATTCACGATTTGTATTTTTGATAAATCTTGTAGCATAATAATGGTGCTATATGCTAATATGGCTTATATTCCTTCAGTTTAATTTAAACGGTGGATATTTGTTGTAGTTGTCATGGTTGACAGGCGGGTTAGTAGTTGCAGTTTTTTTTAGCTGTTTTCAGGAATATGCTGCTACTAAACTCCTCTTTTATTTCCCTCTATCGCCTCATACTACATGGGATGAGATGGAATCTCTTACACCGGCACTTCACAACATTATAATATAGCTATAAAATCCTTACAATAAAATTATAATATTGTAAGATTTTTATTGTATCATTCTAAATGTTTTCACGCTCAACACTAGTAATCACGTTGATCAATACAGCCAAGGACGTTCAATACTTTTAAAGTAGCTTTCACTTTTTAAACGACTTTTAGAAGCCTTTTGAATAAAGTAGTTTCTGAGTTCTAGAAAAAACTTTGTATACTAACCTATATCCATAGAATGTAAATGTGACAATCCCATAGTAGCCTGCCGTAACACTTCGACCGCGTCTATCTTGCATTCGTAATTTAATTTTTTTTCAACGTAGTCTTGTAAAGTTGCTGAGCACAGTTCTAACGCTATATACCTAGAGTGGCGGAAAAAATACTCAATAATAATATTGAAAATTAAGTATTCTGAATAAATTTCTGATAATGAAAAAAAAATAGACATTTATAACAGATATATTAAATCTGTTCCTACAAAATGTTCTTGAATAGTTTGTATGATTATCTGAGCGAGGTATGGTATAATTTTGCAAATATTTTATGTACAAATAGACTTTGCCCGAGACTTTTCTCGCGTGAAATTACAGCCTAGTATTAGGAAAAAAACTGCCAGTGGCCGGAATATGTATGCACATAACTTCGACGATACGTTTTTTGCAAAAAAAAAAAGGAATGAAAATTTATTAAAAATATTTTAGTATGCATGGGAAGAAAAATATATATGTAATGAATTATGTGTATGACACAAGTACAGTTATCGAAATGTAGTATCAGATACAGGAAGTCGATATATGCAGGTTCAGGACCGTGCTTTGTGGTATTCCTTGAGAGAAGCCTATATTCAACAGTGGATTTGGGAAAGGCTTTAATGATGTTGATGATAATGATGACGGCTTCGAATTCATCGTCATCATCATTACAGCCTTTCATAAGTCCACTGCTGAACACAGGCCTCCCCCAAGGAATGCCGCAAAGCACGGTCCTGAGCCAGCTGCATCCATCGACTTCCTGCATGTCTTACCAGGTCGTCACTCCATCTCGTTGGGGGTCGCCCTACACTTCGCCTACCGGTACGGCTTCTAATTAATTAGGTATAAATACAAGATAGATTATACCGTCATCTATAAGAATACATTGTTAATAGCCGCATATATTCTTAACTTCACAAGGCACTAATGTCTATTTTCATTGAGCTGCAATTTTTATATGTAAACAGTTCCGACGCTAACATTCATTCGACGATATCATTCCGTGGGTGTTGCAAGAGACGACAGGGGAAAATAAAAGGGTAAAATAAAGCAGGAAATGGCCAGCGGCATCTTCCCGACAACAACTCAAAATTATATAAAAACACTCCTGCCAAGATATATAACTATAGCAAATATCTCCCCTAGAAAACGATCTATGGAAAGGCTTATGTTTAGGAGTGGACTTTTAATAAGCTCTTATAAATTAATGAATGAATAAACGCCACTCAATTACACCCGAACTCTACATTACCTAAACTGCTTATCCCGCTCCGTGCAATAGTAACGTACAACGTGCGCATGCGCATCCGACTCCCTCAGAAGCGCCACCTCGCGGTCGGCAAATGTAAAACATTCTGGCAGCAGACGTTTCACAGCTACAGCGCGCTTGTCAAACATACCTCTGGAACAAGAATTTCTCATATAATATGATGATTATAAGTTAAACATACAAAATACGAGGGCGGCACTGAAAATTTCGGAAATCAAGGAAGTGACACAACATTACTATTTAAAAATGTATTTATTGCTTTTCGAAGTATTCTCCGCGAAATTTGACACATTTTTCCATACGATGGAACCAATCATTGAAGCAACCATTCCATTCGGAAGTTGGGGTCTCCAAAATGGCCGTTTTGTAGGCGTCCACAGCTTCTTCAAGTAATGAAAATCTCTGTCCACGCAATTTATTCTTTATTTTAGGGAAAGTATAGAAATCATTAGGGCTTAGGTCGGGGCTGTACGGCGGATGGTCTAATAATTCTATGTTTTCTTGCTCTAAAAACTCTTTTGTTCTGTGTGCGGTGTGAGAACTCGCATTGTCGTGATGGAGGATGATGCGGCAGTTGCAGTTCTCTTTACGGAGTTCAAAAACGACCTGTGGCAAACAAATGCTAGCATACCATTCTGCATTAACCGTTCTTTGTCTCTCAAGAGGAATAGTCGTAACATGGCCGGTTTTGGAAACAAACGTAGCCACCATTTTTTTTGCAACACTGCGTGAACGAACAATTTTTGTTGGCTTTAACTCATTTTCGAACACCCGAACTCGTGACTGGTTTTTTGTTTCGGGTTCGTACGCGTATATCCAGGATTCGTCACCTGATACGATGTTGTATACAGCATTTGAGGATCCTGCGTGGAATCTTTCGAGAGTTCTGACGCACCAAGTAACGCGAGCCGCTTTTTGCTCTTCACAGAGCGAATGCGGTATCCATCGGGAAAACAACTTTTTACACCTAATTGTTCATGCAAGATTATTTGTATTTGACTCATGCCAATGTCTAAAGTTGCCTGAATTTCGCGGTATGTCACATGTCGATCTTCCTCAATCAAGTATTCTTGGGTGACTGCAGTTTTTGGACGACCTTGACGGGAATCATCACTGAGCTTGACACGTCCACGTTGGAATTTAGCAAACCAGCGATAAATTGTGGTTTTGGATGGGGCTTCATCACCAAATGCAGAAATCATCCGGTCAACACACTGTTTTTGTGTTAAACCACTTCTAAAGTCATAATAAATCATCGTTCTTGAATTTTCTCGAGTCAATTCCATTTTCTCAACGACTAAACAAGTTTGATAAAACCTTGTGGCAAGACCGAGAATCTTTTTTTAAATAAATAAATGGTATTCGATTTTTAAAACCAAGGGGTTTTCAATTAAAAAGATTTTAATATGACAGGAACAGTGGAAATATTCTATTCCCGATACTTTTAGTGCAGCCCTCGTAACAAGTCGGAAAGGGCAGGACAACCTCTGTCTGACCAACTAGTTTAATAAAAAAAATAAGCCTATAAAAAAACCTATTTTTTAAGATATTTGCCCACATATTAATGCCGAAATACAGTTATAGGCCCGTATTGCATTAATTGCGTTGTGTAAATTATTGCTTTAACGGTCTCATGATTACCAGCGTACACTGAATATGAAAACACATAAATTACCATATACTTAAACATTTTTATTTCTATTAGTATCATTGTTTAACAAAGAATATATTGAAATAGGTATATTACAAGTCACATAGTATGTAACTAAGGTTCTAACGTAACCTTGAGGTCTGTTTACTATTAAGTTTCCAACGCGACGGACTAAACATTGATCGTACATATCACACGGTATCGACATAATTGTCCAAAGATCCAATCGACACTTCGGTCAACATTTACAAAGTTACATATGCTAATTAAAGCCTTTACTTTCATATTTTATTAAAAATTAATCCAGCAATAGACGCAATCGCTAAAGCGCCTTACACACGTCCAACTTGCTGTACATCGCGCCGAGGTCATGCACGACGATGCACTATGATAAACGACAATGAATAGGCCAGAATGTAGGTCAAAAATATCATGCTGAATACGTTGGCCACGAGTACACCATTATTGTTGTACCGATCCAAACATCAAACGTCAATACCTCAAAAGCAGTTCTTTGTGGGTTGGACGGCTCAGCTTATGTAAAGCATAAAGAAAAATTTGGCGTACTATGTACTTCTATTCAATTTAGCTATAAACAGAGTACTTAGAAATTGTTAATATTAATTAAACTATTAAAGGATGTTCTTGTAGGCGAAGGAAAACTAAAAAACAATCTCCTCTGGAGTAGCGCAATTTTTACGAGCAACAGCACGTATTCGCGGCGGTTTTATTGTCGTGTCGTGGTTTTGCATTTTTATTAAGTAAAAAATGAACATTGGAGAAAAACATAGAATTTACTTTTTATATTTTCATAGACATATCTCGTGCAATTACTTCTCTCTCTCTCTCTATCTCTCTCAAAAATTTAACCCCGAGACGTAAGGATACTGAAATCTACGCACTCACCTATACACAAAAGTTCCTTCGCAGCCCTTTCCTAGCACTTGATCGGTGTGAAAAGTTATTTTGCCAATGCGGACCTCGCCTTCGCCGAGATCTACAAGCTGACCTGTTGCTTCACCCTGAGAAGATGTAGTGGATACATTGGAACCCCGCGATCCACCTTGCGAAAGCTGCTGAAATTCTCTTGCCTGCAATGATATTAATAGAATTAATGGTTAGAACTTGAAACAATAATACAAAAAAACTGGTTCGAAAAAAAAACTCTGTCCTGGGAAGAACCAGCAAGAAACCCAGCGGGACTGTTTTTTAAATAACAGTCCCGCTGGCTATATATGCTATATAATTAATGGCGATATAACAAGCTATTTATGCTGGCGAAACGTACGTAGACCGACGATGGGGAACAGCGCCAAAGGTGGGAGACGTCTAGTACTATCTTCCTCGCTACAAAGGCGGAGACCCATGTCTAGTGGCATTGAACTTTTACGAACTGATAAAAGAAACATTATTATCGCAGATAAACATTGAACCTATTACGTAGCAGGACTGTATAAACGTTAGCTAGAAAAATTAACTTCTATTTACAAGTCACTGACATTGAAATATCTGGGCAAACAAGAGGAAATTGGCGTGTAATTGACCCATGACTGTATATATGAGTATAATGAGAATTTTAAACATATCGCACACATAGAAAGTATTATGCCGAAAATTCATTGACTGTTAAAACCTACAACATAATTTAAGTTACGACTATACTAACTTTATCGCATGGTTTCCTTTTTTCTTTTCTTGTACAAAGTTAGCGTTCCTGGGTTTTAGATAAGAACAATTTTTTTAATGTAAGTATTATAGGCTTCGCAAAACTTACGCTGAAGTTCAAATTTTCTTTTAATGTGCATTAACTTTTTCTTCATCAACCCAACAATTGAACTCAAATTTCAAAAATACTACTTTTATTAACATCATCATACATTTACACTCACACAGATCATATAATCACACAGAGTAAAAAAAACTTCTTGAGAAAACCAATAATTATTGGTATTACATAACCTACAAAGTTTTGCAGCTTCCGACAGTGGTTCTGCTGACACAGTTGAACTAACTCCTAAATCTTAAATATTTATCTAAAAAAAATTTATCAAGGATTCTCTTTCGAATTTAAGACATTACATTAATTACCAATAGTAAAAAATGCTGTGCATGCATAATTACTAATTGCAGTTCGTCGGCCGAGTACTTATATTTGTCCAAAAGACCATTTTTAACGAAAATTACTTTAAATACAATATTGTTCTGGTTCAAATTTAACGTACTTAGATATCTATAAAATACTAATAAACTAAGAATATTTTAATAGAGCAATTTAAAAAATGTCTGTGACTACATTACCTTGAGGTTCACCTAGCCACCTAGCTAAGACATCTGATCTAATAGTGGAGCGAATATACAAAATCGCATCAATTTTACGTATCAAAATCAATTTCAAACCGTTATTGATATTACAGAAGCTGCAAGCCACCGGCGGTCAAGTTGCCGCTAAAAACTGTGGGTGTGGAGGAGTGCTAACGCCGAAAAACGGATTGACCAGTAAACCACAACGTTTGTAATCCATGAAGGATGAAGAGTGTAAGCTATTAATTAACATAATGCATAAACAAAGCCTAAAGATGGATCGCAAAGTCGCTAGCAGTGACTAAGCGTTTACCCGGCGCTACGAACCTGGTGGTTCGAATCCCCCACAGTACTAGTATTTGTATTACCTAGAAATAATTGTTTAAGTCAGAATTTACACCGTATATCATTTATGTATTTAAAACACGACGTATGTACGTACACGACACAGAATCCATTTTTTTATAAAAACATCAGTGTGCGTAGGATTTACATGCTTTAATTCCTCCCTCCCCAGGACAACCAGGTCGGTGGGCCTACACGCCTTTGTTGTCGATATTCCACGCATTCTAACAAAACTGTTTCCTTCATCTTTCATAAAGCGTACAGTAAAGGAGTGGAATAATCAGCCAATTAATATCAGGGCGTTTTCAAAGCAAGAGTAAATAGACTTTTGTTAAGCTAAGACAGTGCGATTTACTACCAGGTAAGGTTGTTCCAAGCACTCTATGCGTTGACTTATAATTAGTTAAAAATTATATATATATAATTTCGGCGTACCGAATTAAAATTTATAGTTTGTGGAGGCGGCGTGAATTGTTGAACTTTAGTCTTTGCACAACGTAGGAGTTGACTAATGAACTACACTTAAGGCTTGCTTTTTGTGTTGTCAGGGTCATATTCGTGATACGTCACGAGCTTTCCTAAGGAAGATTTCTTTACAAATTTAAAAACTTTTAATATATTCTTAAATACCCATCAATACCCATCACAAATAACAATGTTATTTACGTATTGCTTCGAAAGAAATATAAAAGAACTCGAATTATTTCGCTCTTTTCTTCAGGACATTTTGTCTAAAGGGAATATTCGTCACTTGCTAAAATTTAGGAAAGGACAGGCAAAATATTCTATTTTATATATGTACATCGAATAAAATAAACATTAAAATATATTCGTATAATTTACTCTAATAGTAGTAATTTCTCGATAGTTCGACGCGGAACGGTGACTCAATTATAGTGCTAGTAACATATAATTACGTGTATAGGCTGTTTCCATTGTTATTACATTCATTTGTAAAAAAGAATAATAAATTCTTTACGTACTCAAACTGCATCCAATTTAACATACCACTTACAAATTTAATGGCTTATAATGCCCAATAACTGCGCTATTAGATGAAAAATGCAATGGCAATCTAGTTCGTCCATCCGACTGCCAATTATAAAACAAACTTGCAAACTTTATCGATCATTAAATTGTATAATTTTTATGATTATTCGGAAGAAACCTCCAATGTAATGCAATGCAATTTTTTTTTTCAAACAATTTACACATAGTCGCTTTCGAAGAAAGTTATTACTCGGTAGTAGAGTTCCCCTACTGCTTACAATATGAGCTTCAGCTCTTTCTAAAAGTAAAATATTTTTATAACATTTCAGTGACAAGCGAGTTACTTGCCATCAGGCAGGCTGCCTGCCTGATGGCAAGTTCTTACTGCGGATCATGGACACTTGCACCCATTTAAAACAAAAAAGGACAATGAAAAGAAAGAATACAATATTACGCATGTAGAAAGCGTTGTCATTCATGAGGAATAAGATGGCATGCCTCCCAGCCTGATTAAGTATCTGCCTCTTACAGTTTCCATCGGAACACAGCAATTAGTTTAATATTGTGGCGTAAATAAATGGTTTTAAAATTAATGTATTGTATTAAATGTAATTGAGATGAGAGCAGTATTTTTAAATAAATACACGATACGATCACATAAATATTACGACCTACGCGCTGTTTATTAACTTCACGGGCCGGATATTCGAGAAGGACATCAAAGATAAACTCCAATCCACTTCAAAAATTATTGACCAAGACTTCAAACCTCTAAATTTTATCGATATGAAACATATGAACAAGAAGGAAAGGAAAATTATTTATTATAACAAACACCAAGACACGTGTTACAAAATATATTATACACTAAACAGCTTATAAGTACAGACTAAAAGAAAACTAAATCCTAAATAAAATGGAAGCAATCCAATCAAAGCTTTATTATGTGTGCGGGTTTGGTATAAAAAGACAACACTCAGCATAATTTCGTGGTGTTTTCCACGAAGCAAGAGTAACGTACGGACCGTAATGGTCCCCACTCACGGTCAGTTAAACTGTTCAGTTTAACTGACGTACATCCAAAAACTGACCGTGAATGTGAAATCTTAAGTTGAAATTTTTAACTGAAGGCAACACACGGATTTTATTCGGGCGTGCTGTCAGTTAAACTGCTCCGTTGAACTGAAGTACATCCAAAAACTGATCGTGAATGTGAAATCTTAAGTTAAAATTTTGAACTGACGGCAATCCACGTATTTTTCCGGGCGCACCGTAATCCGCTGGCTTCAGTTCGTTTTCATTATTGGTAAGTACATACTTTCTTACTACTTTCTTAGTAGCTTTTATATATATTTTATAATTTTTTATAACATTCTTTATGATTTTATATTATTTTATATATTTTTTTCATTCAAAAAAAACGTTACCCCCACACTAGGATTTTCTCCTATATCGTGGAGGCAGTTTACAAACACAAATTGCACAAGGACAAACATCCAGACCCGGAACAATCATTTGTAGGCCATACAAATACTTGTTCCGTGCGGGATTCGAACCCGCGCCGCAATTCATTGCTAAGCCACTGCGCCACCGAGCCATCATATATATTTAGAGAAGTTGCTTTGACAGAGGATGGAGACCAAGGTGATGGTAATGATGTCACCTTCCTTATAGTGGACTCAGAAGGTGGGTAAAGGATCTCAGTGATGCTACTACGTGGACTCATTTTCAATTAGGTAAATGGAGACCTAGATGACTGTGATGATATCACCTTTATGTTGGTGCTATCCGAAGGTGGGTATAGGATCTCAGTAACGACACTAGATAGAAAGACCGCGTTTGAACTCATTTGAATGGGCTCATAAAGACCTAGGTGACTGTTAGACCTCACCTTTTTGATGGTGCAATCCGAAGGTGGGTATAGGGTCTCAGTGGCGGTACTAGATAGAACGGTCGTGTATGAACTCATTTGAAAGGGCTCATAAAACTTAGGTGACTGTTATGATATCCCCTTTCTGATGGTGCAATCCGAAGGTGGGTATAGGATCTCAGTGACGGCACTAGATAGAAGGATCGTATTTGAACTCATTTGAATGGGCTCATAAAGACCTAGGTGACTGTTATGATCTCACCTTTCTGATGGTGCAATCCGAAGGTGGGTATAGGATCTCAGTAACGGCACTAGATAGAAGGATCGTGTTTGAACTCATTTGAAAGGGCTCATAAAGACCCAGGTGGCTGTTATGACCTCACCTTTCTGATGGTGCAATGTGAAGGTGGGTATAGGATCTCAGTGACGGCACTAGATAGAACGATCGTGTGTGAACTCATTTGAAAGGGTTCATAAAGAGCTAGTTTAATGTGATTATATTAACTTCATGATGGTGAACAAAGAAGGTGGGGTGAAAGATCTCAGTTATGCCACTTCGAAACACCATCGTGTTTGGGCTCATTTGGAAGGGCTCAAGAAGTAACTACACAAGTAATATAAATATAATAAATAGTACAAACAGTATTATTACTCACTTTATAATGTTTTCAGGCAATTAAAAGCAGCAAAACTCCTAAGTAGGTACAAAATTAGAAATCGACCATATATTTTACAGGCAATAAAAAAAGGCAGAACGGAAAAAGCATAACCAACTACAACCAGAAGACGAAAATATATGTGTACTTCAAGAAAACCTACAAGCACCATTAGCACCAATTCCTATAAATGACCAAATTACCTGTACGCAGTATTTAGAATTGAATGATTTTTGACTGATTTATTACACGAATACTACACATTTAATAAAACAAACTTTACGGATTTTATTTTGTATAACTTATTTTAATTCATGACGTTTGTGTGCTTCAACTTTAGTATGTAACACGTCTAGAGCTCAATTAGATAAACATAAAAAGCTAGGCCATCCTAACTATTTCCGTTACTGAAAACCGATAAGCATTATCTGGTCATCATAAGACCTTCAGAATGTGCCCATGCCCACGGGGTTTTTTGGGTTCACCGTAAACGGAGTGCAAGTTAGTATCAGTGGGGTGTCGCCCGCTCTACAGATCGGTAATTTAATAAACAGATAAAAATAAATAACACATTTATTATATAAATAAAATTTACCATAATGAGTAAAATTATCATAATATCTGACCCATTTCTTAAAAGTGTTTTAATACTAACCTTATCATGAATAAAAATATCTTTTGAAGTGTTAATATATCGGAAACGTTATTTATATACATATATACCTATATACGGAACGGATTTCATTTCTCGATCGATGAAGCCGCAGCCGTGCGCGTTTAGTTGACGTGACTCCTATAAATTAAAAATATCATTTCATATCTATTAACTAGCTGTTCCCCGCGACTTCGCCGTGTAATTTATTACTATTGGATTTCATGGGTTTTAATTTTTTGCACGGAACCCTAATTCTTTTTCTAAATTAAAATTAGCCTAAGTTCCTCCATATAATATCCGTTATCTGCACTGAAAGTCTCGTCAAAATCGGTTCAGCCGATTCGGAGATTAGCTGGAACAAACAAACAGACAGACAAACAGACACAAAGAAAGATAGACAAAGATTTTAAAAATTGTGTTTTTGTTATAAGTACCGTATGTATTTTCATATGTATTTAGTAAAAAACTGTTATTTTGACATTACAAATAGACACTTTAATTTTATTTGTTTGTATAGATATATATTAATAGACAGAAAATGCTATTAAATAAGATTTAGGAATTATTCAATATCATTTAATTTATCTATATATATGATATTTTATAGGAGTCACGCAAACCAAACGCCCACAGCCACGCCCCACGTTTGAACTAGGACTGTTGCTAAAATATCGATATATCGAAAAATCTATTTTATTATTTAGAAATATCGATATTTATTTTTAATATTTTTGACGCCATATATTGAAATATAAGTTTGATATTGAAATATAGATATACGACAGTCGATATATTTTTTTAAATAATTTAATTTTTTATTTTTTCACGTAAATCATTTAATCTACAACACCATCGTAAACTTAAATCCTAATTCTTGATGGACCCAATCTACTATACTTTATTTACACTATATTATGTTTTTCATTTTTCCCCAGTTTATTTATTTGCTTATTATCTTAAAAAGAAATGTAATTTTGTAAAGTATATCTCTGTGATATTAAAATCACTATAATCTATGAAACTTAGTACTACTTTACTTACTGTGAGTTTTGGCAGGAGCTTGACCATTGACGGATGGTTGCTACTATTTTATCGTTTAAATAATCGTTTGAAGTGGATTTTTATCAAAGTGATGCGATTATGTGTATTAAGTGTCTGCACATGTGAGCTATTAGAGAAAACGACGAAATAAGTGCTTCGATGTTGGTATAAGCCTCAAGTTATTTTAATCGCTTAGGCGTCTTATGATTTACTTCCGTGCTATCAGAAATAGCTGTTAAATACTTGATTTCTTCAGCTGCATCCAAAGCATCTGAACGAATTACTTCTACAATCAATCTTTTAGTGCCCAATAATTTGAGTATTGAAACAGCTGAACATATAAAACAACGAGTATTTTTGAAAACTCTTACTGACAAATATTGGTAAACATAATTGTCTTATTTAAATTAAACAATAATTCAAGTTAAAGTTACAGCCTATATATGTCCCAATGCTGGGCACTCCTCAGCTGGGCAGGCCTCTCCTAACTTCTGAGAGGGTTTTAGGGTAACGTCCGCCTCGCTATCCCAATGCGTGTTGGCGAACTTCACATTTTCTGAAATTTTTTATTTTATTTCTCAGACATGCCGGTTTCCTCACGATGTTTTCCTTCATTGCCGAGCACGTGGTAAATCAGCACTTAAAATTGCAATTAACAATTTCATTGGTGCCGGTGGAGATCGAACCCGGGTTGCTCGCGTACTGTGAAATTTACAGCGAGCGCTAACCATTTGAGATACCATGGCTCTTTAATAATTAGATTGTAGTTCTTAGTAAAGTAATTACTAAGAACTATAACCTAATATTTTCATACATATATAATTTAATTTGTTTAATAAATATACTAAATTATAAACTGTGTCAATCATTTTTAAGCAGTAAGCATCAATATATCGCTTACGTTTCCGATATATAAAATTCCAATTTTGATATATTTATAATTATCGATATATTGAAAATCCGATATTTTAAAAATATCAACAGCCCTAGTTTGAACTGATCAGTTGGAATGATCAGTTGAACTGACCGTGTGTGTCGAAATTTTTTTGGATTAAATCCGTTTGAAATGATCAGTTGAACTGATGTCATTTTAATTGACCGTGAGTGGGGACCATAACACGTAGACGTGGTAACTTATGACCCAAGACCATTTTAAAGTGAGACTCAAACATTTTTTATTGCCTGAACTGCATCAAATCATAATCCATATTGAAAATCTTTATTAAAAGTACAAATCGTGAGTGACCGCAACCATGATATATTTTACTACTACTACTCAATAACTATTTCTTTTTTCAATCTATTAATAAAATCCACAGCTGGATTTAGGATCTCCGGGAATGCATTACTTGAAAGTTATCATATATTCGCTTGCCATAGGGTCAGGGGACACATGGATTAGATGGATGTATTGACATTTCAAAAAAGAAGTTTACATAATTCTCCTTAAGTCTGGAATACACGACATCATTGATCTAGACATAAACGTCGAAACTGTGGCAACATTTAACAAAATAGCAACTACAATTGCTATCCCCTAGGGCGACAGTGTACAATATTCGGTCTATAGGCTTGAATGTGTTGCGTCGTCGTATATAGAATAATATTGCATATTGATTATCATTATTATTAAAAAAAAAACTTTATCTATTAAAATTTATATCGTAAATAGCGAGCATGGTTGGTGTCTACGTCGTGCCCGAAACCTGACATTGACTATATGAGCGACCTAAGTAGACCTCTTTTGATAATAGTAGGTAGTTACTATTAAAATTAAAACTGTTATGAATTCATTTTAATGGTAACGTGGCATTCCATCTTTGTTCTCAAGGGTGACAACGCATCTGCATGTAGAATTAAGATTCTTAATCGATAATAGATGGGCACAGAATTCTTTACCATCAGGTGCTCGTTTATAACCTTTATAAGTATTAAAAAAATTGCATTCATATTATGTGCCGATTTACTGCACCTTAAACAATTTACATGTCCTAAGAAATACATCTATCAATACTGGGTTATTTCTCAAAGAGTAGCCAAATTTTAAACTTAAGTTCAAATATATAAATATTGATATACCGTTATTGCAGTTTTTGAAAATACGAGTAAATAGAGTGAGTACGAGTGATTAATGGGCAACAACGTTTTTGCCTACTGATCGACCCTCAAGATTATGTGCGTGCGCAGTAAAATCCGTTATTTGAAACATAAAAATGACAGAATGTTTGAGATTTTTTTATTAATATTTCTTCACTATTAGCCGATATTCCTAGTTCTGAAACTTCTCTACAAATTTGGCCTTTTATTGCAAAATAACCCTTTATATCATTAAAAGTGAAGAAAGTAGGGAAACTTACCTGATACCTCAGGTACCAAAACATGGTAAAGACTAATCCCACTAGAATAATCAACGCCACTTTAAGAGCCTTGTTCTCTTGCTGATGAAGCCAGATATAGCCCTGCTTATACCATAAATCAGGCCTGAAGTTTAAAACTTCGAACAAATCGTCAGTTTGCACGGAAACTGATATGGAATTCGATTTTAGATTCGTTTCATTCTCCACGTCCTTTGTTTCTGTGTGCACTTGGCCATTGATAAGCTTTATTGCGTTGTTCTGCATTTCTGGCATCTTCAAGAAGGTGGCTGTTGGTAGCTGGGGCATCCAAGACGTGGTCAACTCTGGCACTTTATAGTGCCCTAGTAGAAGATACGGTGGGGATACGTGCAGGTTCAAGTCGTTGAGTTTGTAATGAATATTCGCGAAAGGCTCATATTTTGGTGCTTCGGCGTTCGCTTGACTCTCTGTAACGGGACCTTCTAGAAGCAGCGGTTGGGTTAAGCCTGTTGATATCGTCACAGTGTTTTTATCTACCAGTGATGACAAAGCGTAAAGGCCATGATTATGTTCTCCTATGTATAAAGTTGGGCTGAAATAGATTTGTTTTTGTTGAGTATTTGGAGTTATTGGGTACTGATATTATATATATTATAATAATATATAATATTAGTAATACTTTTTAGTACGAAATGGAGTGAAAAAAATCTTTTATCATTCGAAAGGATTTGCGCTATAAAATGTACAGAAAAATGTGAGAAAAGTATGTTGCCGTTAAGGCAGTTAATATAAAATGAACATACACACATGATTTTTTCATACAAAATGCTTTAACCTATTAAATGGTCGAATTTCATCCAGATGCGATTTTATGTACAAGCCATCATCATCAATAAATAGTCCACAGCTTGACATAGGTCTCTTCCAAAGTGAGAGGATTTGCTGTAATCGCCATTGGTGTTCGTTATAATTCGTTTACTTATTACAGACACACGAGATGAGGGTAGGATGATGTTATATATATTCAATAAACAATAAAAAAACATACTTACAACAATTCAATGTTAGAGTTCTTAATTCCTTGCCCGTTTCTCAGGGTAGTGGCATCTTCCAAAATATGATCGAGGGTGTCGTCGCCAATAGAATTAAAAGGGACAGTGATCAGGCCTTGTCTGTCTAACAAATAAGCAGCTACTACAGGAGTCTCAAAGTTGTGAGACCAGACCAGGTCTCCGGTCTTGCGATCAAATGACATAATGCGACCGCTTGACGTCGAGGTAAAGTGAATTATACCTAAAATTACTTTTTATTAATTTAGGTAAAGAATTAATAAAACCATTGAGTGCACGATGGTTCGTACAACAGATAAAAATGAGTTTGGAATTTAGTCTGCCATCACTATCAATTTCCTATTTCATAACTTTATAAATTACATTTTAGAGCTAAAAAAAAACTACAGAACTGACAAAGTTGAAAACTTAATTAATGTTTAATATGAACAAAGTTTGGTTTGGAGTCAATAACATCATTTGGTTTCGAAACATTTGGTTTTCGTTTGGTGCACAGACATAATTTTAAGAAATTATAAAAAAAAAAAAGAATCGAACACTGGATCAAAAAACGTGAAGATATTTTTAAAATTAGATTTCCCAAAATCGGACCGACCTATTTATTGCAACAACTTCCAATGAGGAGTAATAAATCTATACAAATAAATAAAATTAATTGAAGTGTCTGTTTGTAATGTCAAAATAACAGCTTTTTTATTAAATGCATAGGAATGTTTAACGGTACTCATAACAAGAAAAAGTTTATTTTTATTTTTGTCTGCCTACTGTTTGTTCTGTTGACGGGACTTTCACTCGCAGATAGCTGATGTTATAAGGAGTAACTTAGGCTCCTTTTATTTTAGAAATAGAATTAGTGTTCCGTGCGAATACAATTAAAACACATGAAATCCAATCGTAATAAATTCCACGCAGGAGTCGTGGAACAAGTCGCGGAGAACAGCTAGTTTGTGGATAAAATAACAAAATGTTACATACCATAATCGTTCAACATCTCTTTGCCCATAGCGTGCGATGTATAATCGAAGAATGTCACATTCCACCGATGATTCTCATTCTTAGAATCGTGCATAAGAATGTTGTATTCGGTTCGAGCGACGTACACGGCCCTCTTTTTATCTGTCTCGCAGGTGTTTTCATCTTTACTATCAAAAATTTTCGTCTTATCGAAACCTAAAAGTTAATAATTTAGTACAATGTTTTTTTATAATTAATAGAATCAGGCGTTACTTTGCGGAAATCCATTATATAAAATGATATGTCTTACCTAGTATGAAGAGCACCTCCCGCCCTCCCGGGAGGTGCTCTTCATACTAGGTAAGACATCATTTTATTTTATAACGCGGATATTTGCGAAGTAAATTTTCTAAAAGCTTTTATACAATGTTTTTTTTTTTTCATTAAACTATATTTACGTATTCTATCGCGATTAAAATATTTCGTTGAATGAACACATTTTATGAAATTGTTTTGTTGATTTTTCTCCCCATCGCCAATAAAAAGGGACTTGAGTTCGATATTATAGAATGAATATTTTTTTTATAGGATAGGGTGACAAACGAGTACACAGTCCACCTGATGGTGAGTAGTTGCTATGGCCCATATACATCTACATCTATCTTCGTTTGTGAATTAAAATGCAGATGCGTTGTCAGCCGTGAGAACTAAGATGGAATGCCTTATTTCCAATAAAAAGGGTCTCCGGTTCTCTACATCACCATACGAAACACAGCAGCGTTAAGCTGCTATTTTACGCTAGTATTCTGTGAGAGCGTGGTCCTTCCCCGGTCGAGCCGACCCATTCGTGCTACAACTATACTATTAATATAGCTGCAGCATGTCTCTACCACGTATTAAGAATGTAGCGCAATTTACGGCCGCCATTTCGTTTGCAGGATTAACTAAAAAAGCACAAGTTTATCTTAATACTTTAAACGTCTTATCATAATCAAGGTCAACACATAATTATTATATAAATTCAATTAGTCAGTTTTATTTCGCAACCGTGTAGTGGCGGTGTAAGAATATCCACTACCCCATATCGTTACGTGGGTGTCGTGAGAGGCGGCAGAGAGACTGAGGCAAGAGATAGGCAGCAGCATCTTTCTGATAAAGTAATAAAAAACTGCGGTTACCCGCCTGCCAAGCGTGGCAACTATGGCAAAATCACCGCTATGAGGCAAACTATCGGGAGACCTTTGCTTTTGTTCAGCAGTAAAATAAAAATAAAGTGTAGTGGCGGTTAAGAATATCCACTACCCCATATCTTCCCGTGGGTGTCGTAAAAGGCGACAAAGGGAAACAGGCAGGAGATGGGCAGCAGCATCTTCCTGGTAACGACAAAATACAATAAAAAACTGCGGTTGCCAACCCGCTCGCCAAGCGTGGCAACTATGGCAATATACCCCCTATGAATGAATGTAACAAAGAGACGGCCCCCAGTCCCCGGCGGCCCCGCTATTCCTGGCTACGGTGGCGACCATGGTAACGGCGGGGCAGGGGGTGCTAAGAATCTCCGGTGGAGGTTCGGTTGCCACCTACAACGACTCGACCTGGCAACATACAACGCACGCACCCTGAGGACTGACGAGAAGATTGTGGAGCTGGAAGAAGAGATAGACAAGTTACGCTGGCATATTATAGGATTATCCGAAGTCCGAAGAGAGGGGGAGGACACGGTAATCCTCGAATCCGGCAACTTGCTCTATCACCGGGAGGGCGACCATCTGTCACAAGGAGGTGTCGGATTTATCGTCCACAAGTCTCTCGTTAACAACGTTGTAAAGATTGAGAGTGTGTCGACGAGGGTTGCGTACCTTATACTCAGAATCACCAAACGGTATTCGCTGAAGGTCATACAGGTTTACGCACCAACCTCGGCACACCCCGATCAGGAGGTGGAGGAAATGTATGAGGATATCTCTAGAGCCATGCATTCCTCCAAAACCCAATATATGGTGTTAATGGGAGACTTCAATGCAAAACTAGGCACAAGAGAGAACGGTGAGCTGAAAGTGGGGAAATTTGGAATAGGGCAACGGAACCCAAGGGGCCAGCAGTTGGCCGACTTCATGGAGAAAGAGGGACTCTTTATGATGAACTCTTTCTTCCAGAAGCGGCCCCACAGGAAGTGGACCTGGTCGAGCCCCGACGGTTCGACAAAAAATGAGATTGACTTCATTATGACGACCAGACGACAACTGTTCAGTGATGTCTCAGTGATCGCGAGGGTGAAAACCGGCAGCGATCACCGAATGGTTAGAGGCACACTGAACCTAAACGTTAAGTTGGAGAGGTCTCGTCTAATGAAGTCAACGCTCCGTCCCCCTCGTACTCTAATCCAAAGTCCCGAAACCTTTCAGCTCGAGTTGCAAAACCGTTTTCAGTGGCTAGAAGACTGCAATGAAGTGGACGATTTGAATGACAAGCTCGTGGAAACTGTCCATGCGGTCGGAGCTAAGTTCTGCAAGACCCGCCGCAGAAGAACACAAAAACTCTCCGATCACACTCTTAATCTCATGGCTGTTAGAAGGGAGATGAAGCTACATTCTTCAACAGATTTGACAGCATACAGGCAACTCAACAGACAGATCTCCAAATGCATGCGGCGGGACTTACGCAACTTCAATACAGCTCGTATTGAAGAAGCGATCGAGCGGAACCAAGGCTCCAAAGTCTTTGCCAGAGATCTGTCTGCCAGAAAGAACCAACTGTCAAAGCTGAAGACGGAATGTGGCAGCATCGTTTCCGGGACACCTGAGATTTTGAGTGAGATTGAGAGGTTCTATGGGCAGCTGTACACGTCATCGTTGGAGCCACACGCAAGTGTGAGTAACGATCCAAGAGCGAGTCTCATCCAACACTATTCCGAAGATATCCCGGACGTCAGTCTGAGCGAGATTAGAATGGCTCTCCAGCACCTTAAAAACGGCAAGGCCCCAGGTCAGGATGGAATTACAGCGGAGCTTCTGAAAGCGGGTGGAAAACCGGTACTTGAAGTCCTTCAGAAGCTCTTTAATTCCGTCCTCCATGGTGGCATTACACCGGAGGCGTGGAGCAGAAGTGCGGTGGTCTTGTTCTTCAAGAAAGGCGACAACGCTCTCTTGAAGAACTACAGACCGATTTCCCTTCTGAGCCGCGTCTACGTGCTGTTTTCGAGAGTCATTACGAATCGTCTCGCGCGCAGACTTGACGACTTCCAGCCTCCCGAACAAGCCGGTTTCCGAAAAGGCTTTAGCACCATAGACCACATACATACCCTTCGGCAAATTGTACAGAAGTCCGAGGAGTACAATTTGCCACTATGTCTGGCGTATGTGGACTATGAGAAAGCCTTTGATTCCGTCGAAATTTGGGCGGTGCTGCAGTCCCTTCAGCGATGCCAAGTTGACTGTCGGTATATCGAAGTGTTGAAGTGCTTGTACAGTAGGGCTACGATGGCTATCCGAGTACAGAACCAGAGTACGAAACCTATCCAATTGCAGAGAGGTGTAAGACAGGGTGACGTCATATCCCCGAAACTCTTCACCGCTGCATTGGAAGATGTTTTCAAGCTTCTGGACTGGAAAGGATACGGTATCAACATCAATGGCGAGTACATCACTCACCTTCGATTTGCCGACGATATAGTCCTTATGGCAGAATCGCTGGAGGACCTAAGCACTATGCTCAATGACCTCAATAGTGTTTCCCAACGGATACAACATGGACAAAACAAAGATCATGTTTAATGTCCATGTCACACCTATCCCGGTATTTGTTGGGAATACTAAGCTCGAAGTTGTTGACGAGTATGTTTACCTGGGACAAATAGTCCGACTAGGTAAGTCCAACTTCGACCGAGAGGTCAATCGACGGATTCAACTCGGTTGGGCAGCGTTCGGGAAATTACGGCACATCTTCTCGTCAGGTATACCTCAAAACTTGAAAACGAGACTGTACACCCAGTGCGTGTTGCCAGTGATGACATACGGAACTGAGACGTGGTCCTTCACTGCTGGCCGGATGAGGAAGCTCAAGGTCGCTCAGCGAGCTATGGAGAGGGCTATGCTCGGAGTTTCTCTGCGTGATAAACTCAGAAATGAGGATATCCGCAGTAGAACCAGAGTGACCGACATAGCCCAACGGATTAGTAAGCTGAAGTGGCAATGGGCCGGCCATATAGCTCGAAGAACCGACAACCGATGGGGAAGAAAGGTTCTCGAGTGGCAGCCTCGTACCGGCAGGCGAAGTGTAGGGCGTCCCCCCACTAGATGGAGTGACGACCTGGTAAGATTTGCAGGAAGTCGATGGATGCAGGTGGCTCAGGACCGTGCTTTGTGGCATTCTTTGGGGGAGGCCTATGTTCAGCAGTGGACTTGTGAAGGGCTGTAATGATGATGAAAATAAAAAAAAATAATAAAAGGACTTTTGGATTAGATTTCGCAACACTTTGCAGTTGCATCTTCCTAAATGAGATCGTAATAGTATATTATATACCAGTATTCTTCCGTAATTGCATTACTTAACTATTAATTTTTTCTTAAAATCTTTTTTTAAATGACTTACAAATACGCAGCTGATGCACGTAAAAATCTTAAAACAATTCATCGTCTGTGCGACATGTTGTTGAATGGCATATTTTGCACTTTATTTGTAATTCCTTAGTGTATTGTATTACGCACAAAGTGAATTCCAGGGAAAAAAACCTTCACTATAATATTTTAAACGATGTGAACAGCCAATATGCCAATTTAGCTTTGGTAGTGCATTAGCTAAGCATTTGCCTGCGCCACTGCTGTATAGCTTACAAATAACGTAAAACGTTTTCACGATACAGGACATATTTCTTTTATAAATATAAAAAAATTATATTTTAGTAACATAACACAAATTCTCTATGGGATGGGGAAGGTAGACTTTAGAAATTATGTTTATGTATAAAAACTGTATAAAAAGAATTATTATAATATAAATGAATACAGGGTTGATACTTGATAACAATCCCCGGTAATGAGGTGGTCACTGCCAAGCCGTTTCTAAAATAAATTTTGTAACCTTTCATATTGTATAACATACCTTTTTTTTAAAGTCCCGCTGGGTTTTTCGCTAATTCTTCCCAGGACAGAGATTTTTTTCCAAACCAGTGGTAAATTAAAAAAAAATGACTTTCACTAAGAATTACATGTAATTTATATTGAATAAAAAAATAATCTATTCTATTCTATTGATTGACTCGTTAGTATCGAATTAATATTTATAAGATTTGAAATTGTTATCTACAACTACTTATTTACAATTTAGTGCGGGTTTCACGCGCAGCACATTATCTTAGAGTTGCAAGGTAGATCGTCCCGAAACTTACTTTAGCCATTGAGGTTATCAGTAGAAAAATCCGGTGGACATAGCACTATCGACTCGGTAACCATACAACTGATGAAGACCAAAGACGTATTAAAAAAGATGAAGACTAGAACGTTCTACAGATAACTTTAAATCACAAAAAAAAAACCTTCGGAATACAAACTTGTAAATATAATTTTAAATATACAATATAAAGTTCAAATTTAATTAAAAAAAAATTGGGTAAATCTATTCTTTTAAAACGCATTTTACGCATTATTTTCATTTAAAATAGAACTAAAGAAGCGCCAATACCACAATATTTTACCTTTTACTGTCTCTACAATTACCCTATATAAGATAAAGATGAAACTATTTTGCCATCAACGTGTCCGTCCGTAGTAAGTTATACATTGAAAAGTTAAGCTACTGTGCGAAAGTTGAACATGAGCAATTCCCATTGTTGAGGAGATATGTACCAGACGTCTATTTTTGACGACCACCCCACCCCGCCCCTTCCCTACTCGCCAGCCTTAGTATTTTACATTTTACGTAAACGGGATATTTCGGAAGCCTTATGGTCATTCTAAAATGCCCCATAGTCGCCGGTTAAGACTCCAACGACCTGAAATGGTCCGATCGATTCTCTTACGGCTACAATAGAAAAAACTCACTCACCAGAAATATGCTCCCGCGAACCAGTCAACGGATCAAGCATAAACCACGTATCACTCTTCTTGCCTGTATATAATATGCCGTCGGTGGATCGGCAGGGGGCGTTCGCGACCAGCTCCGGGATTGTAAACGGCAACTTTTTCAGCATCTGCTTATCGCCCCTCGGTCCGTACATGTAAAGTGATCCGTGGCGGGGGTCGGGCAGAAATTGCGGCATGAGATTCGCATCTTGATTGGGCACCTTTACTACAGGTTCTACAAAACAAAAAAAAACATCAAATTTTACTCCTATTATCACATTGAGATAATTGACATTTTCACCTATCAATAGTATTGTTACAGATGTAAGCAAAACAAAGAATATGCTGCTCTCTGTGTAATAATGTTGGTGGAAATAAATAAATAAAAAAAATTGACAAATGGAAAATTTAATACGCAATATAGGTAAATCGCATCTCAATCCTGTATTATAACAAAATGTCTCATTATGTTGTATAGCATAATATTATGCTATAAATAAAATTAAAATATATGTCCGTAATATTGATATAAGTGCCTTCTATTTAGCACAGTGGGTTATTTCCATGTGTTTATGACAACCTAAAATAAAACCATTTTTAAGTTTTTTTGTCTGTCTGTCCGGGCTAATCTTCGGAACAGCCACACCGATTGTGATGTAACTTCACTAACAGATAGAGAGAAATGCCAAATGCTATCTAAGCTATAAAATGTATTCGAAAAACATAGAGGATTTCTTTTATGAAATCGAAATACAGATAAAATAAATAATTTTTATGATTAGTTTCGAGCAAAACCTTTTTAATTTTATCCTAAAGTTTTGATACAAAAGCTTTTTAACATTTTTTCTTCTACAGCACAATGTTACAATAATACTATGAATGGTAATGGATAAAGCGACAAAACTTTTATTGAGTACGTAAAGTTAAAGTTACACCATATAAGGCCTGAGCCATATGAGGCCTGGCCTGTGCCTAGCAGTGTCCCACTGCTAGGCACAGGCCTCCCACTTCTGGGAAGGTTTTAAGACAAGGAAATGTCCGCCGCGCTGCCTCAATGCGTATTAGCGAACTTAACATGTCTTCGAAATCATTTTTTTCTTATTTCTCAGATATGCAGGTTTCCCCATGATGTTTTCCTTCACCGCCGAAGACGTGGTAAAATAATCTTAATTTTTTTTATTTTATACATTTTCCCAAAACATTATAAACACGCAGGTTTATTTGTTTGAGTTCTACGCGGACAAAGTCGAGGGTGTGCCTAAGCTAGTAAATAATAAAAGCATGAGCTCAGATTATTACTTTCTTTTTAGATTTTATAAATATATTACTATAATATTTATGCAGATGTGCAAATGCATTGGCCACTCATTAATCTTATAATTTCATAATTAATGTAATCAGTAAAGTGTGTAAAGCAAATAAGTACTATCTTATCTCTATACCAAATAATAATGTCCCACTGGCCGATATTAAACATTACGAAAACTTTCAATTCTTATCAGTTCAGTAGTAAAATAGCCTGTTAACTGCTCAGGATAAAAATAATAGATTACTAGGTATTGTATACTAGCGATCCGCTCTGGTAGCTCATGATTTCTGGATCTCGACAACAGCGCCACCTACCGGGTCCAATTGTATATCTAAGCCATCTAGCTCATCAACAATCGCCGTTTTAAAGTTTTAGCGAGACTAACGAACAGCAATTGATTTTTATATATAGACATAGGGATTATAGTATGAAAAATGAAAGCTCCTAAATGAATACTCCCATTATCCACATACTATACAGGGTATTTTTGGAACGCTCCCGAAAACTAAGACAGGCGACAGCACCAAGTATACCTTTGATCATGGGTCACAAATAAATTTGATCCTGATGAAAAAAAAATCATATTTTTACAACGTTTTATTAGCTTTATTCACGCGCCATCATGTTAGTACAGCTAAATGAATCGATAATTTCATAAAAAAAATCATGAAAATACTGAAACATAAAACCAGCAGTGGAAACTGAATTGATATCACCTGACTAATGGAGGTTAATGTACGCGCGAACGGTGAAAAAAGAACGCTGGCCTTGAACTTGGGCATTGAGCGATTTATCACATATAGGTACGAGGGGGGTGCGACGGGGGATCAATCCGCCAGTATTACTGTGCCTGCATGCTATTGGTTCACGCGCTTTGTTCGCTCCAAAAATACAGTCGCATACACAGCTTACTTTGCGACTCGCGACGATGTTTTAAAAAGGAAGGAAACAAAAATTATTTATATCTATTGTTTTATGACTAAACTAGTGAACGAAAAGGTAAATATGATATGAGAAGGTGAATGGGGAAAATTGTGCAGTAAAGTGTTGAGGGAGAATACCGAAAAAATTACCATGTGATCGACCTGATGACGGAAGCTCAAGCGAAGATGAAAGTGATGATGAAGTAGCATCCAGTAATACCAACACACCATCAACATCTGACTTTCATGTGACCCAAGACGTCATAATGGACGGCGTGTCACCCTTAAGTTTTTTTTGTTACAAACTACTTTATATTTTACGATAGAAATAACAAATAATGCTCAAGTAAACATTATCCATTTTTAATTCCCACCTCTTCCAAAGTTCTAAGTAAATAGTAAAACACCTATTATGATTCCACAATTAAACAATTAATTACTATAATATTATAAAACAATAGCCCAATACCATGTAGTACTTTAGAACGCGACTGTACCCACACTTCCTCCGCTGTCGACCTGTATCTAGCTCGGTACGAAACAATGGTATGCGGTCGGAAGAAAAAAGGGCGCATCTAACAATTTTTGAATAAATGAGTTAAATATACCATGACTCATGATAAGAAGGCGCATCTACTAAATTTTTTTAATATTCACAAATATCAATATTTTAGAAATTATCGTAAGGATTTTAGACGTAACTGTTGATCACAGATGACATCTTTTTATTAGAAAAGACTTCAACATAAAAGAAAAGACTTATTTAACCAGTGGCTACGTCATCTTTAACAATATTTGCATCGATTACTTAAATTTCAATTATTCTTGTCTTTTTATTCTATATCTTATTATTAAGAGCTTATATCTTATTACTAAGAGCTGGTGTTTCACATGTGGTCCCATATAAATTTGATCGAGGTCAGACCAATAGTTTTTGAGTCATCCTTAATTATTTATATTAAAGTCGGTTGTACAAAATTTTTAATTATTATCGTAGTAAGTCTTGTATGATATCCCCTTTAAAATCATTACTCAAGAGTTGCGGGTTGTTATTTTTTGTGTCTGACTACCAATGCTTTTCTAATATTTACTAAGAAAAAAGTAGTAAATTACTATTAGCGTCCTTTCAACTTCAAATGACCTTTCCAAAATATGTAAAAATGTTAAATGAATGGCAGTTTTTTTTATTTATTAGGTTGGGAAGACGCAAATAGTTATATGCGTCTTTCCTTCGATGTTTTTGTGTTGCCAGGTGTATTTTTTAATCTAAGATGAAAAGGAAAATTCGTTTTATTTAAATAAATAAACAAATTATCAAAAAATAAGTTCGTCCTTAAAATCTTCATGTCTCTACGTACATATTTCAATTTTCATATAGATACCTTTTAATATACTTTAGACACGGGGTCTGAAAGAAAAATTCATAAATTTATTTTTTATTTCCATTTTACGTTTTTGTTAGTTGCGTACTTCTTTATTTCGTATGACGGCAGAATGTAACCCGGCCGGCTCATGTCGCCTCGCAGAATGTAACCCGGCCGGCTCGTGTCGTCACGCTGTGACGCAGTAGGTTTCCGTTTATTCGTCGGGGTTCGTTATTAATTGTAGTTTTTGAAACAGTTCCGTGTTGATTTTGTACACGCGTGCGCGAGCGACAGTTCAATCGTTTTGTTTAATAAATTTACTTGTGATTACGTGTTGATATTAAAGTTTTTGTTACGTTTTTGGATTCTTTTTTGTTTTAATAATGCCTAACGCGTACGTTTATAGTGGTCAACATGTTAGGTATCCGAACCTAGGTACACGAAGTATCGCTAAATAAATTGTTAAGACGTCGGGATCGTACAAGTGTGTCATACTGTACAGTGCACAAAGTGTTGAAGCGTAACCAATGCGCCCATACAAATTGCACAAAGTGCAAGCTTTAGTTCCCGGCGATCACGACCGCCGACGAGTTTTCTGCCGTTGGTTATTATACCAGCAACAACGTGTGCCTGGTTCCATTGAGCACATTATCTGGACGGATGAGTCGACATTTACCAGAAACGGCCTGTGGAACCGAAGAAATACACACGTGTATTCAGAGGTTAACCCGCACGCTGTTCGACAAACCGGGCACCAAACCCGATGGTCGGTTAACGTATGGGCAGGTTTATTTAAGGATCGCATACTGGGACCAGTGTTTCTGACAGAGCGACTGAACGGACAGCGATACCTAAACTTTATAAATGAACAGTTGGTTGACATTTTAAACGACCTATCGTTGGCTGAATATCGCCGCACATGGTTCCAACATGATGGTGCCCCTCCACATTTCGTGAGGTTCGTCCGTGAGCGCCTCAATGAGTTATTTGATGATCGCTGGATCGGCAGACTAGGACCACACGCTTGGCCACCTCGCTCACCAGATCTGACTCCGTTAGACTTCTTTTTGTGGGGTATGTAAAAGAAAGGGTTTTTAATCGTGAATGTGATAGTGCTGAAGAAATGCGCCAAAGGATCGTGGATGGTTTCGAGAAACTACGTACGGACTGTGTCGAAGACCACACGATGATGCCCCGCCTGCACCCAAATCTACCTTGAAATGAATGGAGCACAATTTGAGCCGCATCTCATAAGACCACGGAGGATTTAGAGCGGTAAGCTGTTTCATACCTATTTTTTTTTAAATAACTTAGTACTAGACTAATCTGAATAGGTACATAACTGAATACATGAGAATAATAAACATACACGATGAATAAAAACTCATGACTCCAACTTTGGTTACATTTCATTTAAGTATTTTTTCATTAGCGGGGAATCGAACCAGTTATTTGGGTTATTTAACCTGTAAATTCGGATTAAAGTGGCTAAGTGGAGACAAGCACAGTGGCAAAATAGTAGGTTAAGTAGATAAGTAAGGTATTTAGACAAGTGTTGTAAATTATTAGATATTGTGGTTTGGCCCGCTAGTTGCGGGCCGCGCGAATTTGCGTTCGCGCGTACATTGACCTTTCAGTC